GGAGGGACTATGGGGGTTCAGCAGCCCCAGGGAGGGAATATGGGGGTCCAGCAGCCCCAGGGAGGGACTATGGGGGACCAATAGCCCCAGGGAGGGACTATGGGGGTCCAGCAGCCCTAGGGAGGGACTATGGGGGACCAGCAGCCCCAGGGAGGGACTATGGGGGTCCAGCAGCCCCAGGGAGGGACTATGGGGGACCAGTAGCCCCAGGGAGGGACTATGGGGGTCCAGCAGCCCCAAGGAGGGACACGGCAGGGCCAGCAGCCCCTGTGCACCCACCCCAGGCAGGACCCAGCATCTCCCAGCCCCGGGAGCAGCAACCCCTGACCCCGAGCACCCCGGGGAGGGGTCCCCAACCTGTGAGGTGCCGCATGCCGAGCTGGCGCAGCCCCGGCGTGCCGGCGGGGCCGGCGTTGCCCACCACGGCCAGGGCGTAACGCTCCTGGAAGAGCTGCGTCCCCCGGATGATGCGCAGGCTCTGCAGCTCCAGCCGGCTCACTTGGTTCTCCGCGATCAGCACGTAGCCCTGCACCTCCTTGATGTCCTGGGGATGGGGAAAAAGGGGTGAGGGGCCGGCCAGACCCCCGCCGGACCCCCCCTTAGGGTGTTCCCCTTGTCCCCGCACACCTTGAGGAAGGCAGTGTCGGCGTCGGGGGGCAGGTAGGTGAGCTCCAGGTTGCCCTGCACCACTTGGCATCCCTGGTAGAGGTGCCGCAGGGTCTCGTAGTGGCTCTCGGGGCTGGAGGGACGCAGCAGCTTCATATCGGTCCCCGTGCAGACTGCGGGGACGGAGGGGGAGCTCAGCGGGGTCCCCTCGCCCGGCCCGGCCTCGCCCCCGTGGGAAACCGAGTCGGTGGCGGCACCGGCCTCCGCAGGAAACGCTGCGGATCCGCCGGCGGCCGTTTATCTCCGGGGCTGCTCCCAACAGCTTCCGATGGGCTTCCTGGATCGTCGCTCCCACCCCGGCACGCGGCAAAGCTGCTCCCGCTTTGGCACCCGGCTCCGGCCCCACTCGAGGGGCAGCCGGGGGGCCGATGTCACCCCGTGCCCGCGGTGCGCGTCGGGTGCTGCTGGGGGCCGGGCTGGGACCCACAGCCCCTGGGCTGTGGTGGGGGGCCGGAGCGGGGGGGGGGGGCCGTGGGCAGGAATGCTCTGCCCACGCCGGAGGGCGCGGGGTGGGGGCCGTGCCGAGACAAGACCCGATTGTTGAGCGGCGACGGCTGCCAAAGCCCCGGCCGGCCCCATCCCTTGGGGGGGCTGCCGGCTGAGGGGGCCATCCCCGGGGCATCGGGGTGGGGGGGGGGGTGCAGAGGTGCGGGGTGGGGGGGCCGCGGGAGCCTGCCCTGGGTGCTGGGTGGGTGAGTCACGGCCGCGGGTGGCACGGCACCCCCCCCCCCGGCCGCCCGCTCCCAGCAGGAACCGCCTTTTCAGGTCGGGCGTGTTTGGGGAGCAGCGGGTGACGCAGGGCTGGCGGGCACGGCCCAGCCCCGGCGCGCCCGCGGCCCCCGGCGCCCCGCCACCCCGCCGGGACGACCCCCCCCCTCCCAAAACACACCCCCACACCCCGCTCCCCGCAGCCCAACACCGACCCCCGGTACCGCTCCAGCATCGACCCTGGCACAGCCCCAGCGTTGACCCCAGTGCCGCGCCAGCCCTGAGCTGCCACCGTCCCCTCCCTGGGCGTGGGGCAGGGGGACAACGAAGCAAGTGGGGGGGGGTCAGGCAGCCGTGCCCAGCCCTCCGCCCAGGGCGGGGGGGTTTGGTGTCCCGGTCCCCGGTCGGAAGGGGCTGCCGGCCGCGCCGCGGCTGAGTGACAACCCCCGGTGCCAGCAGCTGCCTGCGCGGCCTCATGGCCGGGGGCCCCGGTTGGCAGCCCCCTCCTCTGCCTGCTCCAGGGCCACCGAGCCAGGGAGACACCCCCCCCACACGCACATGACGCGGCCAGGGAGAGGGAAGCCCCCCAACTATGGGGTTCAGCTTTCACCCCACCCCGGTGGCCTCGGCGGTGCAGTGAACGGTCCCCTCCACCCCGGGGAAGGAAACCGCACCGGCACGGCCAAAGCTCAAGGTCTGCCCTCCCCCCTGCCCCGCGGCGCGGGCAAGAGGGTGCCACGGGCTTTCCCGGGGCGAAGGGCGAGCGGTGGCAGGGCCAGATCCGGGGGGGGATCCCAGCTCCGGCCCGTGGGGCTTTGGCCCTCCCTGCTCCTGCAGGTCGCTGGCTGGGCGCCGGGAAGAGCAGTCGGTGGATCCATCCTGCCCGGCTCGCTCCGGCAGGCAGTGCCACGGCAGATCGTCCCGCCAGCCCACCGAGGCGTCCGGCAAAGCCCACGGCCACGCGCCCACGGCACCGGTGACCCCCGAGCCAGTGCTGCCCGGTTACCCCCTCCCAGCTCACACACGGACAGTGGGACGGGGTTGGGGATGGTGTGTCCCCAGCCCAGAGCTCCCCCGGCACGGACCCTCCAAGCGGGGTGAGCTGGGGGGGCGCCGGGAGCAAGGGGGGGCCACCCAGTGAGTCCCCACAACCCCGCACCAGCTCAGCACCACTGGGCATTTGCTTCCCAAACTCGTCCCACCCACCCAGTGCTGGATCTGACCCCCACTGCGGGGCTGCACGACAGCAGGCCCCGAGCAGGCAGCGGGGTCAAACCTTGCCGGTGGCTTTTGGGGCTGCTGGTGGCCACCTTGGGGCCACCAGCCCTGTCCCCACGTCCCCGCCGAGGCCTCGGGACAGGCAGGGCTCGGGTCCAGGCTGCTCCCGCTCCCTCCCCGGCCGCTCTCCCGGGCTGGGCAGGGTGCGGCACGTCGAGAATGTGGATGGGAGCGACGGGGGACGCACCCACCCACCCACCCACCCACCCGCTCCGTGGGGCACCGCGCCTGCCCCAGCACCCCGCGGCTCCCCTGCCCTGCACCCCGAAATCTCCCTGTGGCTCTAGCAAGGGAACCCCGTGAAGTTGGGGTCCCGTCCCCGCTTCCCCGGCTGTTACCGGAGCTCTGGGTGCGGGGAAGGTGTGTTGGGGGGGAGGGTCCCTGCTCGGGGCGGCACCGAGTCCGGGGGGGGCCGGGGTGCAGCGGGCAAGGCAGCCCGCTCCGGCCCAGCGTCTGCCAGTCCAGCCCAGCCCGACCCCCAGCCCTTGGGTGGCGATCGCGGCGTGGGATCACGGGGGAGGGGGGCGGGCGACCGAGTGGGCACCGGGAGGTGGCGGGGGGGGGGGGGGGGGGGAGGACGGACACACACCGGGGAGGGACTTGGGGGACACACAGACAGTCCCGTCACTCCCAACCGAGCAGCCCCCGCGCTCACCGGCCCCCGCAGCCTGTTGTTGCCCCCGGTCCCTTCCCGGTGCTTTCCCCCCCCCCCCCCCCGCCACTCCCTCCCTTCGCGGTACCGATCGCAAAACTTTGCACAAAGTCCCGCCGCCACCGAGGGGACGCTCCCGCGGCTCCACGTCCGTCCGTCCGTCCGTCCGTCCCCCCACCCCGTCCCGCGGTCCCGGTCCGTTCGCACCCACCTTCGGCGGCGGCGGGGGGGCAGAGGGCGGCGAGCAGCAGCCCGGCGCAGAGGCAGCCTCCGGCCCGGATCATGGTGCTGAGCGCGGGCCGCGGCCCCACGGCCCCGCCGGCCGCTCCCGGGAAAGTTTGCGGTGCGGAGCCGCCGCCTCCCGCCGCTCCCGGGCTCCGCCTCGCGGGGCCGCGCCGCGCTCCCGGTCCCGGCCGGCGGGGGCGCGCCCCCCCCCCCCCCAACACACACACACCGACCCCCCCCACTCCCAACACACACCCCCCGACACCCCCCCCGGCGGGACCCCCGGAGCTCGGCCACCCCCGGGGGAGGGGGCTGCACCGGCTGCAGGGAGGGGGGGTGCGGAGGCTTTGCCGTGGCGTCGTCCGGATTTGGGGGGGTGGGGGGGTGTGGGGGGGGGGAGTCTCGTCCCCTCTCCTGCCCCGCTGGGTCTGTGGCTGTGGTCGGTGCAGGGGCTGGGGGGACAGGGACGGTAATGGCGCTCCCCCAGTCTGGGGTTGGGGTCCCGGGGAGGGGGTACAGGGACAGTAATGGGGCTCCCCCAGTCTGGGAATGGGGTCCTGGGGGGGGGGGGAGGGGGGGGAAGGGACGGTAATGTGGCTCCCCCGTTCTGGGGTTGGGGTCCTGGGGGGGGCGGGGACTGGCCTGGCACCCAGGGATGGTCCTGGGGGACAGTGATAGTGGAGCAATAGAGACCCCAATGAGGTGGCCCCTTTGTCGTGTCCCCCCCACACACACCCTGGGCACAAGCGACCGGTGCACCTTCATCTGCTGCACGGGGGGGAGCTGGGACACGGGGTCCCCGGGGAGCACCGCAGCCCACAGTGGGGGGACCCCGGACCCCCCCAGCCAGGCCAGCACAGGCGGGAATGCCCGTGCTGGGGGGTCTGGGATGGGATCCCCACACGTGGCTGGTTCTCCCTGCCATGTCCCCACCGGTCACCTCATCCCTCGCTCCCACGGGTGACACGGCTGACCCGGGACCCCCGGCTGCGGGGATGCGAGCGGGCAGCCAGCCCGTCACCACCACCTCAAGCCAGGGGAGGAGGGGGGGGGGGGAAGGCACGGTGGGGCGGGGGGGCAGCACGTCCCCCCCCAGATGCAGCCACTGACACCCCACGGGCGAGCGGCCACCTCGGGGTCCTCACCCCACAGTCCCCACCCGGGGTCCCGCATGGCCGGGGCCTGCACGGCCCACCCCGAGGCGGAGCGGGCCGCGCTGCCCCCGGGCCCTGGCACGGCCCCGAACCCCCAGAACGTGGCGGGGGAGTCCCCGCAAATCCCCCCGGGTCCCGGCAGCCCCCCGGGACACGCAGTGCACGGGTGGGGGGATATATCCCATGAGCCCTTGCAGAGGGAGCCGGAGAGGCTGGCGGGGGATATATCCCATGAGCCTCCCGCCCTGGGGGGGACTGTATCCCGTCATCCCCGCGGAGGCGCTATATCCCAGGGTGCCCCGCGCCGTCCCCGTTTCCGGGGTGGGCCGGAAGTGGCGGAGCGGACCGGGCCGGGCGGCGATGGCGGCGCGGGCCGCGCTGCTGCTGCTGCTGGCGGCCGTGGCGGCGCCGGTCCCGGCCCGGGGCTCGCAGGGGGACCGGGAGCCGCTGTACCGCGAGTGCCTGGGCCGCTGCGAGCGGCAGAACTGCTCGGGGGCCGCGCTGCAGCACTTCCGCGCCCGCCAGCCGCTCTATATGGGCCTGACAGGTACCGCCCCCCCCTCCCGCGCCCATTGGCTGCCGGGGCGGACCACGCCCCCCGAGGGCGCTCTGATGCCACGCCCCTCGCGGAGGCCACGCCTCCGCCGCGCTTTGGGGCCGGACTGGGGGGCGCTGGGTCCAGCTGCAGCCGGGCTGGGGGGCGCTGGGCTGGGCTGGGGGGCGCTGGGCTGGGCTGGGGGGCGCTGGGTCCAGCCGCAGCCGGGCTGGGGGGCGCTGGGCTGGACTGGGGGGCGCTGGGTCCAGCCGCAGCCGGGCTGGGGGGCGCTGGGCTGGATTGGGGGGCGCTGGGTCCAGCCGCAGCCGGGCTGGGGGGCGCTGGGCTGGACTGGGGGGCGCTGGGCTGGATTGGGGGGCGCTGGGTCCAGCTGCAGCCGGGCTGGGGGGCGCTGGGCCGGACTGGGGGGCGCTGGGTCCAGCTGCAGCCAGGCTGGGGGGCGCTGGGCCGGGCTGGGGGGCGCTGGGCCGGACTGGGGGGCGCTGGGTCCAGCTGCAGCCGGGCTGGGGGGCGCTGGGCCGGGCTGGGGGGCGCTGGGCTGGATTGGGGGGCGCTGGGTCCAGCTGCAGCCGGGCTGGGGGGCGCTGGGCCGGGCTGGGGGGCGCTGGGCTGGACTGGGGGGCGCTGGGTCCAGCTGCAGCCGGGCTGGGGGGCGCTGGGCTGGGCTGGGGGGCGCTGGGCTGGATTGGGGGGCGCTGGGTCCAGCTGCAGCCGGACTGGGGGGCGCTGGGCCGGGCTGGGGGGCGCTGGGTCCAGCTGCAGCCGGGCTGGGGGGCGCTGGGCCGGACTGGGGGGCGCTGGGCTGGATTGGGGGGCGCTGGGTCCAGCTGCAGCCGGGCTGGGGGGCGCTGGGCCGGGCTGGGGGGCGCTGGGTCCAGCTGCAGCCGGGCTGGGGGGCGCTGGGCTGGACTGGGGGGCACTGGGTCCAGCCGCAGCCGGGCTGGGGGGCGCTGGGCTGGATTGGGGGGCGCTGGGTCCAGCTGCAGCCGGACTGGGGGGCGCTGGGCCGGGCTGGGGGGCGCTGGGTCCAGCTGCAGCCGGGCTGGGGGGCGCTGGGCCGGGCTGGGGGGCGCTGGGCTGGGCTGGGGGGCGCTGGGCTGGACTGGGGGGCGCTGGGTCCAGCCGCAGCCGGGCTGGGGGGCGCTGGGCTGGATTGGGGGGTGCTGGGTCCAGCTGCAGCCGGGCTGGGGGGCGCTGGGCTGGACTGGGGGGCGCTGGGCTGGACTGGGGGGCGCTGGGCTGCGCTCTGGGATCGCTGGACCGTGCTGATTCCGGACTGGGAGTCACGGGGCCTTTCTGGGGCTGCGCTGGGGGGGCACTCAGGCTATAGGGGTGGTCACTGGGTCATGCTGGTGGCTACTGGGCCGTTCAGGGGTTCTGCTGGGAGGCGCTGGGCTGTGTAGTGGGGTACCGGTCTGCGCTGGGGGTCACTGGGCCATTCCAGAGGACACGCTGAGCCATACTGGGGGCCACTGGCCTTTGCTGGGAGAGGTGCTGGCCTCTGTTGGGCCATTTTGGAAGTTACTGGACCATATGGGGTGGGGGGGGACACACTGGGCCATACTGGGGGTTGCAGGGAACCACTTGGGGTGCCCTGCCTGCTCCCAGCAGGGTGAACCCCCCCCACCTCAGCTGGATCCCGCCACTCCCAGTGCTTGCCGTGGCCTGACGGTCCGGACTGGGAGGGACTGGGAGGGACAGGGTGAGCGGGGCGGGGGCCCCACCAGCCGCTCGCTCCCCCCCCGCCGCAGGCTGGACCTGCCGCGACGACTGCGACTACGAGTGCATGTGGCTGACGGTGCGGCTCTACGTCCAGGGCGGCCACCGGGTGCCCCAGTTCCACGGCAAGGTGCGTACTTGGGGGGGTGGGAGGAGAGGATACTGGGGGAGACTGGTCTGCTGACACCTCCGCTCTCCCTTTGCAGTGGCCCTTCTCGCGGTTCCTGTTCTTCCAGGAGCCGGCCTCCGCCTTCGCCTCCTTCCTCAACGGCCTGGCCAGCTTCCTCATGCTGCTGCGCTATAAAGCCGCCGTCCCCCCCGCCTCCCCCATGTACCCCACTTGTGTCGCCTTTGCCTGGGTCAGCCTTAAACACCCCCCCCCAAAAAAAAAAAATATATTCTCCTTCCCCAGAGCGGGCTGTACCGCACCCCCACATCCTCACTGCTCTGTTTGGGGCTGGGGGGGGGTGTGTGTGTGTCTCCTCGCACCCCTCATTGCAGGGAGGGGGTGACAGGGAGGGTTTGGGGAGGGGTTGTGGCTGCGCTGGCCGGAGCGTGAAGTCTTGGGGTGGGGGGGACGACACACACACACTGGGGGGGTTGTTTTTTAACACCCTCTCCCACAGGTCTCCTTAAACGCCTGGTTCTGGTCCACCGTTTTCCACACGAGGGACACAGCTGTGACGGAGGTGAGCGGGCGGCGTCACCCTCTGTCCCCAAACCCCTGCTGAGGTCCTGTTGTTGGGGGGGGGGGGGGTGTGTGGGGGGGTGTATTTTGGAGCCTTGAGCCCCCCAACCTGGCTCATGCAGCCCCGTTTCCCTGCAGAAACTGGACTATTTCTGCGCTTCAGCCGTCGTCCTGCACTCCGTGTACCTGTGCTGCGTCAGGTGAGGCCCCACCGGCGCCGCGGAGCCGGGGGGGGGGGGGGACAGCGGGGGGTGGCCGGTCCCCCACGGCCGGGAGCGACCCTCATCCTCCTCCTCCTCACCCCGCCCCACCCCCCCCCCCCCCCCCAGGACTCTGGGGCTGCAGCGGCCAGCCTTAATCAGCATCTTCAGGGCCTTCCTCCTCCTCTTCCTCGCCTGCCACATCTCCTACCTGACCCTCGTCCGCTTCGACTACGGCTACAACATGGCTGCGAACGCGGCGATCGGTGAGTGACCCGGTGGGGTTGAGGGGGGGGGGTGTGTGCTCCCCATTCCCCTGCGTGCCCGCCCCCCCCCCCCCCCCCCCCTTTTTCCCCTTTTTTTTTGTTATTTATTTTCTCTCCCCAGGGCTCCTCAACCTGGCGTGGTGGCTGCGGTGGTGCCTGCGGAACCGCCCGCGCCTGCCCCACGTCTGGAAGTGCGCGGCCGTGGTGCTGCTGCTGCAGGCGCTGGCGCTGCTCGAGCTCCTCGACTTCCCCCCCCTCTTCTGGGTGCTGGACGCCCACGCGCTCTGGCACATCGGCACCATCCCCCTCAACGTCCTCTTCTACAGGTCAGTGCCCTCCCCCACCCCCCTCCCCTCCCCACCACCACCCCCCCACACCTGAATATGTGGGTGCTGGGCGCCCCAGTCTTTCCCAGCGCTGAGTGCCTCTCTTAAAACTGGGCTTCAGGAGGGGGGGGGGGGGGGGGGCGGGCGGTCCTCTGTTTCCCACGGGGTGCCAGGAGTCCCACCCTCAAAACTGAGGTGCAGGGGACCCCACTCTTGCCCACAGGGTGCTGGGTGCCCCCCTCATGCCCATACTGGGTGCCCCCCCCTCTTGGGATTGGGGTGCTAAGGGGCCCCGCCTTTGGTCCATGAGGTGCTCAGTGCAGCCCTTTGTTTCCCATGAGGGGCTGGGGGGCCCTCTCCTGTCCACGGGGTGCACAGTGGCCCCCCCCCCACCCCCCTTTTGAAATCAGGATGCTGGGGGTCCCCTTCTTGCCCCTGGGGTGCTGGAGGGACCCCACTGCTGCTCCCCGGGGTCTGGCTGCGCTCAAGGTGGAGGTGGGGGGGGTCCAGGGCTCCCCTAATCCCCTCACCTCCCACGCAGCAGTGGGAGGGGGCCTCCCCCAAGGCCATGGGGCTGTGAACCCCCCCGGCCACCCCCCTCAGCCCCCCACTTTCCCCCTCCCTCCCCACAGTTTCCTGGTGGACGACAGCCTCTACCTCCTGAAGGCCAACTCCGACCTCTTCAAAGCTGACTAGAGCTGCCGGGGCTGGGGGAGCACGGCCCTTGGTGCCCCCCCCCGGGGTCCTTCCCGGTGCCAAGCGAACCCCCGCCCCCCCTCCCTGGCCACAGGCTCCTTTCCCCAGTTGCCTTCTGAGGTTTGTTTTCTCTTTCCATGGCCCCCCATCTCCCCCGCCCCGGGGTGCAGGGGGGCCGGGTACCCCCACTGCTGGCTGCACAGGGCTCAAGGGCAGCCGAGCCCCCCCCCCTGCCCCGCCCCCCCCCCCAGACCCCCCCGGCTGCTGGTGCTGAGCCGGGGGCTCTCCCTGCCGTGGAGCCCGGCAGCCGCGAGGTGGCAATGGCTGCTGGGGCCCACGGTGCTGGGGGGGGGGCAGGATGTGGGTGGCTGAGGCGGGGGGGGGCCTGTGTTTGCATTTTGGCGGGGGGGGGGGGCTTTGCGTGGACCTGCTGGCTGCTGGCTGGCTTTTGCAGGGAGGTTGAGCGGGGATAATGTGTGGGGCTGGAGCGGTGCCTTGGGGCTGGGGGGTGTCCCCCCCCCTCTTTCTGCCAGAGGGAATGGGGCCCCCCCTCAGGGATGTGTCCATCCCGTGTCTGTGTCTTCCCCCCCCGCCCCCTCGCCTGAGTGTGTTTTGGGGTGTTAATAAAGCTGAGTTCAACCTGGGCCATGCCTGGCTCTTGCCCCCCCACTCTGTACCCCCCTCCCTGCCCGGGGGGGCACACTCTACCACACACACACCCCCCACCCCCAGTTCAGCCCCACCTTACACCCTGTGTCCACCCTGCCCACCCGCACCTCAGCTGCCACCCCACGGGGCACCCCACATCCTCCCTACCCTGCGCCCCCCCTACCACGCACCCCACCCCATTGCACACCCCCTCCTGACCCCCCCACCCTGGCCTCCCACCAGAATAGAGGGGTGCCCCCCCCCCCGCCCACCCCATCCCCACTGCCAGGCCCGGCCGTGCAGCTCTCGGGCTTTATTGTGGGGCGCACCGGGGCTGGAGCAGTGGGAGTCGGGGGGGGTACAAAATCTTGGGGTTTGGGTTTTTTTGTTGGGTTGTTTTTTTTTTTTTTTGGTTGGGGGGGGGGTGGTGGCGGTGGTTGGGGGGGGTGGGTGGTCCCTCAAGCTTCCATCGGCTTCTGCGCGTGGGCGAAGAAGACGCCGTCGACGTCGTCCACGCCGGTGCGGAGCGCGGGCGGCATGGCGTAGGAGCGGAAATCCCGGAGGGCGAAGCCGGCGCCGGCCAGGGCCCCGCGGACGTCGTCCTCCGCCAGCGGCACCACGGGCAGGCGGGCGGCCCCCGCCAGGTAAAAGGACTCCCCCAGGGCCCCCAAAAGCAAAGCGTGACCCCCCGGGCGCAGCAGCGAGCCCACGTGCCCCAGCGCCCGGGCGAAGGCGGCGCGGTCGGGGCTGACGGCCTCCAGGCAGAAGGCGGAGAGCAGCGCGTCGGCCGGCGGGCGCAGCGGGGCACCCAGGGGCTCGGGGCGGTGGACGTCGATGGGCAGGATGCGCCGCAGCCGGGAGCGCAGCCGACGCTCCTTCTCCTGCCAGGGCTCCCTGCGGGGAAACGGGGGGGGGGGGGGGGGGAATCCACTGGGGATCCACAGGGATCAGCTCGGCATCCGTGGGGACAGGGGGACAGGGTCCTGCAGGGATCAAGCCAGCACCCACGGGGACAGGGTTGCACGGGGAAGCCAGCACCCACAGGGACATGGGGATGTGAGAACAGGGTCCCGCAGGGATCACGCCCACGGGGACATGGGGACAGGATCCCCAGGGATCAAGCCAGCACCCACAGGGACAGGGTTGCACGGGGATCAAGCCAGCGCCCACAGGGACATGGGGACGTGAGAACAGGGTCCTGCAGGGATCAAGCCAGCACCCACAGGGAGAGGGTTGCACAGGGATCAAGCCAGCACCCACAGGGACATGGGGACAGGATCCCCAGGGATCAACCCAGCACCCGCAGGGACACAGGGACAGGGTTGCACGGGGATCAAGCCAGCACCCACAGGGCCATGGGGATGTGAGAACAGGGTCCTGCAGGGATCAAGCCAGCACCCATGGGGACATGGGGACAGGATCCCCAGGGATCAAGCCAGCACCAACAGGGTTGCACGGGGATCAAGCCAGCACCCACAGGGACACAGGGACAGGGTTGCACAGGGATCAAGCCAGCACCCATGGGGACATGGGGATGTGAGAACAGGGTGCCGCAGGGATCAAGCCAGCACCTATGGGGACAGGGGGACAGGATCCCCCAGGGATCAGACCAATGTCTGTGAGGGATGTGGAGGCATAACCCTGCAGGGGTCAGCTCAGCATCTGTGGGGACAGGGTCATGCAGGGATGAAGCCAGCATCCACGGGGATACAGGGACAGGGTCCCACAGGGATGAAGTTGGCACCCACAGGGACATGGGGACATGAGAACAGGGTGCCGCAGGGATCAAGCCAGCACCTACGGGGACAGGATCCCTCAGGGATCAGACCAATGTCTGTGAGGGATGTGGAGGCATATCCCTGCAGGGGTCAGCTCAGCATCCGTGGGGACATGGGGACATGAGGACAGGGTCTCACGGGGATCAAGCCAGCACCCATGGGGACACAGGGTCAAGGTCCCACAGGGATGAAGTTGGCACCCACAGGGACATGAGAACAGGGTCCCACATGGATCAACCCAGCACCCACAGGGACATGGGGACACAGGGTCAGGGTCCCACAGGGATGAAGCCAGCACCCACAGGGACAGGATCCCCCAGGGATCAGAGCAATGTCTGTGAGGGGTGTGGAGGCATAACCCTGCAGGGATCAACTCAGCGTCCACGGGGATGTGGGGCTGGGATCCCATGGGATTTGGGGACACGATCCCCCCAGGGACCAGCCCAGCACCCCCTGGGGTCCCCCCTGTGTTCCCCCCCCCCCAAGCCCCGCAGCCCTACCCGCGTCCCTCGATCTTGCAGACGTGCTGGATGAAGGGGCTCCAGTCGAAGGTGCCGGGCTCCCCCCGCGCCCAGCGCCCCAGTTCCTCCCGGTTCACCGCCAGGTAGTCGGTGGCCACGATCTCCTCGAAGTGGTCGCAGGCGCTCAGCAGCTGGTAGATGGTGGGACCCGAGCCCACGTCGATCAGCGTGCGCCCACGGATCTCACCTGGGGGGGGGGGTGGGTGTCCCACACTGAGCGAAGGGATGGGGAGGGGGCAACTGGAGAGAGTGTTGAGAGGAGGGTCCCACCCTGGGAAAGGGCTAGGGAGCGGGGAGAGCGGTGGGGAGCAGGCAGGGTGGGTGCTGAGGTGCTCTCCCAACCTGCGCCTCAGTTTCCCCCACCCCACTGGGCAGGGGGGGCAGGGAAGGGGGGTGGTTTCCCCATGACCCCTCACCGCTGGCGAAGGTCTCGGCCAGGCATCGCAGCTTCCAGGGCACCACGAACTCCTCGGAGGAGAAATCGGCTCGGGGGGGCAGGTAGTTGTTGCGCAGGTAAGCGCGGGGGTCGAAGCGCTCGTAGCCCTCGCGGAGGGCGGCCAGGCTGCTCATGGCGAGGGGCTGCAGCAGCGGCCACCGCCTGGTGTGTGTGTGTGTATGTGTGTGTGTGTGTGTGTGTCCCCCAAAACCCGCCTTATATCCCCGGCTGCGCTGCGCCGGGGCGGGGGGTGACAGCGGCCATCCATCCTGGCTAACCAGGTTAGTGCCAGCGCCGCAGGGCTCGGGGGGGGGGGGGGGGGGGCCGCGGCAGGATCCGGCCCGGTGCTGAGCGAAGGCGCTCAGCTGCCCTCCCGGAGCTGGGGGGGGGGAAGGTGCCAGGGATCCTGGTGCCAGACCCTGCACCCCAAAGCTTTTGCTGCCCCCCTCTCTCCCAGATGTGGGTGTGACACCCCCCACCATGTGCTGCCCCATCCCGGGGTGGTGGTGGTGGGGGGTGGGTTGCTCAGTGTCCCAGGGCTGGGGAGGGGGGTGAAAATGGGCTGGGACTGGAATGGGGGGAGGATGGGGAAGGGCTGGGGCTTGGCCCCCTCTGAGCTCTCCCTGCTGCCTCCATCACCAGTGAGCTGAGTGTGCCGGGTCTCAGCCCAGCCCCTGGCAGGAGCCGGCAACCACCAACCCTGCCAGCTCCCAGCACGCCGGGCTCCTGGGCAGGATGGGGCCTCGCTTAGGGGCCGGGGGTGGCAAGGCGGGGGGGGGGGGGGGTGGGTGGTTCAAACCTCCCAAATCCTGCCTGTGCTCTGGAGCTGCAGGTGGGCAAAGGCGGCGGGGGGCAGGCGGCCTGTGGGGAGGAAGGGGCCGGGGTGGGGACAGGGGCTGGCGGTGGCCCAGGGACAGCGGGATCCGGCCGGGCGGGAACAGCTAATCTGTGCCCTGGCGCTGGGACCATCCCGGACCCTGGCAGCGGCTGGGCTGGCGGGGGCGGGGCGGGGGCGGTTATATAAACTGAAGGTTACCCACACCCCTCCACACACCCCACCCCCCCCCGCCCCTAAACCTGAGCCCCTGTGGGACGTCTGGGCCCCTCCGGCGGCCGGCAAGGCGCTGTGCCTCAGTTTCCCCCATTCCCCAGCAGGATCCCTCGCCCCCCCCCAAATTTTGCCCCCTCCCCACACCGTCTTATGGGGGGGGGGGGAGGGGGCCTTGTACACACACCCCCCACCCCCCCCAAAAAAATGATGCTGCGGGGCCAGGCTGGGTGTTTTATTGCTGTACAAAGACAATCGTTTGTACAACCCCGCAGAGCGACCCACCTCAGCCCCTCCCACAGCCCCCCCGTCCCCCCCACCCCCGGGCCCCTTTTGGCCCCGGGGGGGGGGGGGATGGGGGTGTGTCTCAGCGCGCTCCATCCTCGCACCCCCTTTTCTTTGCCAGGGAAATTGAGTCGCGCCCGCTGCTGCCGGGAGCCCCCCGAACCGTGGGCGCCCCGTTCCCTCCGGCCCCCACGACACCCACTGTGGGGTGGGGTCCCAGGCGAGCGGGAGCCCACCCCCACCTGCCCCCACCCTCCGGCGCTGCCTTTCCGGGTCGGCCGAGCGGACCCAGGCATCGGGGTCCCTCTGCCGCCCCCCAGCATCAGCCGCCTTCCCCGATGACCCCCCCACACACACCCCCCAACCCCCCCACCCCGACCCCCGCCCCGACCCCGCCGCCACACTCAGCCCCGCTGGGCCTCGTGGGAGAGGGAGCGGGAGAGGGTGCGGGGGACCCCCGCCTTGGCCCCGCGGAGGTCCGGGGGGGCGAAGAGGGGCAGGGGCAGGGTGCGGGCGTAGGGCAGGAGGTGCTGGGCCAGGGGCTGCCCCAGGACCCCCACCCGCAGCACCCCCCAGGGCGAGCGCTGCTCCAGCACCCGCGTCTCCCCGCGCTGCTCCAGCGTCTCCCGGTGCTCCTCGTCCACCTCCCGCCGGCACCACCTGGGCACAGGGCGCTCGTTGGGGGGGGGGGGGGGGGGGAAGCCCAGCACCCCACGAGGATCCCCCTGCATCCTGCTCGGCCCCACCGGGGCCATCCCACCCTGCAGGGAACCCTGGACACCCCCATGTCCCACCCCATGCCGCGGGAACCTCAGACACCCCCAAGTCCCACAGGAACCCCCTGGACACCCCCAAGTCCCACCGCACCCCCTGGGGACCCCCGGACACCCCCAAATCCCACAGGAACCCTTGGACACCCCCCAAGTCCCACAGGAACCCCCCGGACACCCCCAAGTCCCACCGCACCCCCTGGGGACCCCCATGTCCCCACTGGCACTCTGGAGACCCCCACGGCCTCACCAACCCCACGGAAACCCCCCCACCCCCCCCTCACAGCCCCCCTCTATGGATGCGCAGCCTCGCCCCCCCCCCCCCCAGCCCCCCTTGGACACCCCCTCACCTCTGGAGCTCCCATGACCCCACAGGGAGCGCCCCCTCCAGCCCCTTGGGGACCCCAGAGACCCCCCCCCTGCACCCCCTTCCCCCCAATCCCCCCATGGCCCCATTGGGACCCTTGAAGCCCCCTCGCAGCCCCAAGACCCCTACAGAACCTCCTTGGGCAACCTCAAGCCCTCCACTCCCCCCCCCCCCCGCCCATTTCCCCAGCTCCCCAAAGACCCTAACCCCCCGCTCCTCCCCGCGTTTGGGGGGGGGTGGGGTGGGGGGTGCCCCTCACCCCTCCTCAGGCCGGGTGCTGAGCTCCAGGTCGAGCCACTCGGCGCTGAAGCTCTCGTGACGCCCCGAGTCTTCCTCCCGCACGCGGCAGCCCAGGCGGGCGCCCGAGAGCAGCCCCCCGCTGCGCACCACAGCGCTGGGCACCAGCATCGTGTCACCCTCCCTGTGTCCGTGTGTCCGTGTGTGTGTCCCCCCCCCTCCGCCCACCCCACTTATATGGCCCCGCCGGGGCTATTTTGGGACGTGGCGCTGGCACTTTGGGGACAGGAGGGTGCCAAGGGCCCCCTCGGGGTAAGCAGCGAGAAGGGGGGGTGTGGGTGGCACTTGGGGACACGTGTGTCACCCCGTGTGCCTGCGCCGGCTGCTTGCCACCCCGTGGTGGCACCCCCGGAGCTGTGTCCCCTCCCATAGGGGGGGTTTGGGACAGATCCTGCCAGCAACGTGACGGTGCAGCCAGGACCCCCCCCCCTTGGCCCCCACCCAGGACACGTCTGGCCTTTCCCTGTGTGTGTCCCCCCCCCCCCCCCCCGGCACCAGTCCCCCCCAGACCAGTGACCATGATGGGCCAACGCGCTGGCCGTGCCCTACCCCCGTGTCACCCAGTAGTGGCCCCATTGGGACCACTGGGGTCCCAGCCTGGCGCGTCCCCCCCCCGGCCGGGCTGTGCCAGGGGGTGCTGGTTGCGGGGGCCCCCCCAGCCGGGATATTTGCAGCCGGGGGTTGTGAACAGACGGGCGCTCGCTGGTGGCCGGGGCTCACGTGGCCGTGGCTACTTGCCCGGGAAGCGAGGAGGTAGAGAGGGGCAGGGGGGGGCAGTGAGCCACGGGTCTGCAGCCCCCCCCCGAGCCACGTGGGCCAGCGCCCCACAGCCACAGTGGTCCCATTCGGGGGGGGGGGGGGGCACACACACAGAGGTTTGGGGAAACCTTTGCCCAGGGCGACCAGCGCAGAGGTGGATGCTCCACGCCGATGCCACCACGGGCTGAGGGGACAGTGACACCTGTGGCTGAAGCCAGCGTGGAGGACGCCCCTCTTTGTGTGTGTGTGTGGGGGGGGGGCCGATCCGGGCTGCCCCCCCCCCCAGCCCAGCGTCCCTCCTCGCTTTTACTCACTCAGGTTACAAAGGGCACAGGGCAGGCGCCGCGCTGCAAACAGTGCAAGGCTTTTAATTCTGACCGGGGCCGGCCGGAGGCATCACCCCTTGCAGGCACACGGGGTGGGGATGGACACCCCACCTCCCGCCCCCCAGGACAAAAAAAGGGGGGCAGAAAGCCCCGGGGGGAACGTTGGGGGGGGGGGGGAGCCTGGCGTGGGCGCTCCCCCCCCCCCCCCAGCCGCAGCGCTGCCGGCGTGTGCCCCCGCGTGCGGGCGGCTTCGCGCTGATTCCCTTTATAGCCCGGAACACGGCACCGGCGCTCGCAGGTAGAGCGAAGGCGCAGTCGCCCCCGCATCATCCCCCCCCCCCCCCCCCCAACTCCCTATTCCCCCCCCTACCCCTCAAAAAAAAAAAAAAAAGAAAAAATGGATAAAAGTCTCTGCTTAAGGCAAATCGCGCTCTGCCTCCGCCGGGAGTTGGGGGGGACACATACACATGACATGAGCTCGGCCAAGCCCCAAGGGGAAATTTGGGCAGCCCAAAGCTCCAGGGAACAACCCAGGAGGGGGGTCCCCTGCACAGACTGCCCCCCCATCCCCTGCTGCAGGGAGCCAGGTGGGGGGGGGGGAACACAATGGCCCCCCCAGAGCCTGGCACGGGGCTTCAGCCGGACAAGGAGAAGGGACAGACCTGTGTCCTCACCCCAACGTGGCCGTCTCCTCCAGCCCCTCTTTCCCACCGAACTGGGGTGCAAGTGCAGGAGTCTGGGGGGGCACAGAGCAGCCCCCAACCCCCACGTGGTGTATGGGGGGGGGGGGGAAGGTCAGGGCAGGGGTTTGGCACACAACAGTCAAATGGCTTCAGCGCCCCGGTGAGGGGGAATTGGGGGTGGGAAAAGGAGCTGAGCACCCCCCGGCCTCAGCTCAGCGCTGGTAGTGTGGGGCAGCCTCCCTGGGGGGGGGGGGGGGGCACGGCGAGGCCCTGGGGGCCGCAGGGGCCTCTCCTGGCTCTGTGTGTGTGTGTGTGTGTGTCCCCCTCCAGCCACGGAGGGGAGAGGGCAGAGGAATGTCCGGCGAGGGCAGGTCCCCACTGCTCACGGCTTGCCGGAAAGCTCGCTGACCCGCTGGCGGAGGTGGAAGGCGAACTCGAACATGGTGGCAGCCAAGCTCTGGTGGATCAGGTACCGGGGCAGGCGGCCCTGGGGAGGGGGGGACAAAAAAAAAAACAAAAACAAAAACAAACAGAGAAACATGGAGCGGGGAGGCAGCTCAGGGGTGATTTTCCCCCCCCCCAGCCCGACCCGAGGGATGCACGAGCACCGCGGCGGGGAGCTGCCGCTTTCAAGGAGCTTGCTCCGGGGGAGGAACTGAAATGCGCTTTGATTTCTCTAAAAAAGCCCTGCACGACTCAAGCCCAACCGCCTCGGCCTGCGCTCTATTATGTGAGATGCATTCAAAAAATAAAATAAAATAATCCTTGCCTCTGCGGGGGAAGGGAGCTGAGGGAGGGCTGGGAGCTGCGCCCGGGGGCTCGTGCAGCGTCCCGGGGCAGAGAGGGGGTCCCAAGCGCAGGCAGGGATGGCTGGCCAACTATCCTGGGGGGTCAGGTAGGCACAAGAGCACCCCCCCGCACACACTTTGGATTGGGGTGTTTCGGCAGGACAGAGCCTTTTCCCTGGAGCAAGTTTTCTCTGCTACTGGGGGGGGGGGGGCAAGAGGCTGTGGGACTGTTGGTCCAGGGACCATTTCGGAAACAAGCTCCGGGGCGAAGCTCCGGCAGGGACACCAACACACACACGCGTGTGTAATTCTCACCCTTCGTCGCAGGAAGGGATGAGCCATGTGCTATAAATAACTTCTTCAGGGCCAAAGGAAATAGCAAGGCAGCGGCAGAAGAGGGGTCTGGGCACTAGCAGAGCCCTTCAGGAAGATGGTGGGAGCAGTCGACGGGCGGGTTATTAATAGCTCGGCCGCTACGGCATTTCTTCCAGCAGCGGAGGCAGGAGGTGGGCGAGTGCTCTCCGGCCCGGGGAGGCACAAGGAACATCTTTTCCTTTCCCAGCCCCATCTTGCACAACCAAGTGGGTTCATTATCCCTCCAAACCCACTCGTTACAGCGGGGCGGGAAGAGGCGTCGGAGCCGGACGCGGGGAGGAAAACGGAGCAAAAGGGAGCAGGAGGCCACGCTCCGCTCTGCCCCGGCAGGCGCTTCTGCAAATCTTTTCCAAAAAGCGTTTCACGAGGCGGGCAGGAGCTGATCTGCCGTGTGGGGAGGGAGGGAGGGCCGTGGGAGGGGAGGGGGGGGGGGGGCCCCGCGCAGCTTTGCAGCAGAGCGCTGATGAATGGAGCCTTTGTGCTCGCTGCTGCAGCGCCCGTTACCACGTCAACCTTCAGCGGAGGAAGAAAACGGGCCAGCTCCGCTCCCCCCCCCCCAACCCCCAGCCCCATCCGCCCGACCCTGGCTCCCTTCGCGCCGCTGCCTTTTGTCTGGGCCACCGGGCAAGGACTCGACAGGCACCTCCCCAGATGGCTCCAGCTCGAGGGGTCACCTCCCCGGGGGGCCGGGCACAGCCCCAGGCGCGCCGGGGTGTGGACCAGGGTACGGGGACAAGCAGGGGGCGAGCGAGTCGCCCCTTCAGCACGTTCCTGGGGGCAGCAGGCAGCGCTGCATGTGCCCCGCTGTTTGCAGTCCCCAAAGAGGATAAAAATCTCCACCCCACCCCCCCCAAGTCCAGCACACAGAGATGTGAAACCCTTAACTTAAGGTCTCTTCTCTTAGGAAGAGCTTCCCCACCTCACTCGGGGCAACCTCGGGGAGGGGGGAAAGAGGGCGATTTTTCAGGTAGCGTTTAACCCCCGCCAGCAAAACTGGAGTCCCTTTAGGGCAGCCGTGGCTCAGGAGCCGCTCTCAGAAGCGGGGGGCACGGAGCAGGACCCCAGCGGGCAGCCTGCGCTGCGCCGGGGGGACGCCGGCCCCCGCCGGGGACGGGAGACGGCCGCCGCGCTCGCGCACCAGCGGAGAGCCGGCTTTACCTTCAGGTCCGTGTTGAGAATCCAGATGAACGTGCAGACCCTGGGGTTGCTGGGACATTTCAGCACGATGAATCCTCCGGGCCCGTTCTCACCCCTGCGGGGAAGCAAGAACACAGGCGGTCAGAGCCGGGGCCGGCTGAAAAGCCGTTTGCCAGCGCGCTGGGGTGCACGGCACCGATCCTGCGCTAGCTCCTGCAGCCAGAGCCCCCCCCCCCCCCCCCCCCCCCACCAGCCTGGCAGCGAGGCCCGAGAGCCCGGCGGGGTAAGAGCAGATGTGCAGAGTGCCCGGGGAGGGCTCCGCTCTGGCTGCGGGCGCACGGGCGAGCACGGCGAGGCAGGTTTCCCACAGGTGCTTTGGCAGCGGCGGTGCCAGGGCTGCCGCAGGGCCGCCGGCTGAGAAGCAGCAGCCTCTGCCTCCGGACCGTGCCAGCCCGGCCGACGCCGGCTCTTCGCCACGGGGAAGGTTTTCCGTGGAAATGGGAAGCGAAGGAGAGGTCCCAGGCAAGCCGAGCGGCCAGGGAAACCCTGCGCGGTCAGGACGGGCTCGGCACGGGGAGCCTTGTCTCTGCAGCCCCCAGATCCTTCTCGCACCATCTGATCCGTCTCAGATGCAAGAGCTGCGCTCGCACACACAGCCCAAATACAGATTTCCCTTCCCTGTTCAGGAACATGCTATTTTTGCTGCATACGTTTGTAAAAAAGATTTTTCTAGGCCCTGAAGTCCCCAGCTCTTAAATAGACTGAGGCAGCTATAACGGCTCTGAGTTAAAATGTCAATTACTTTAACCAGATTATTAGGAAAAACAAAGTCAGTGCGCGAAGTGGCACAGCTGGGCCCCAGGCACCCGAGCAGACAGTAACAAGGAGTCCTTGTTTGATGAGAATAACCCCGCCGAGATTCATCACCAGCCAGGCAAAGCTGTCCCTTCGGAAGGGGAGAGGCCAAAGACCTGCCGAGGCTTTGGGAGCCAGTCCATCCTGACGCAGCTCGTTTCGCCCCTGGGACCATCTCTCCATGTCCTCAGCCTTTAAAGTCAGTATGTGACTGGCTTACGAGAAGCAAAAGGCATGCGAGAGGCTCAAAGCGAGCCACCCTCAGCTGTTTACTGCCCCTCAGAAATGGCAGCTGGCCCTGTTTGGGAATTAACTGTTACATAAACAGGATGTAGACGGGGCTGGGGTTTGTGCTGTTACTGGTCGGCACCTCCACTCCCCTGAGCAGAGCTGGGGAACGCCCGAGCAACGCTGAACAGCACGGAGAGTTTCTTTAACAAAGGGAGAAGAACAAGGGAAGCAAGGTTTAGCTCCACAAATAGCTCCGCTTCCTGCAACCGCTGCCAGGAAGACAGCAGGGTTTTCATTTAAGTGGCTCTTTGCCCTAAGCTTAAGCAAAGCGCGTGTCAGATACCAGCTTAAAAAACCCCAGAACCTGCCTCTTACCTGACATACTTGGAGAGCGGAGGCTTGAGGCTGTGCGTGGTCGACATCCCTGAGGAAATGTACCTGTCTCTCCTCCTCTCGATCCGGCGCACGTTCACAAAATCCCTAAGCAAAGAAAAGGCGCTGACTGCTTTCAAATGGGACTTTGAAGGAGCAGATCCCGCTCTCCGGACTGCGGGGAAAGGCTGGGCCAGAGGTATGTCAACAAACGGGCAAAGCACAGTGCAGCACCGTTATCAGGGAGACCGACCGAGGCAGATTTTTTGAGCTACAAGAAACGTCTGGAGGAGACTTCTGGGGCTCTTTGCCTTTGGGCGCGTTACCCGCACAGCCAGCCTGCCCTGCCTCGGTGACACCGCGAGCTCCCAGCCAGCGAAGAGCGGCAGAGCCGGGGCAGAGCGCTCTCACCACACTCAGATGCTCCTCTCCGTATTTTCAGAGGGTGTTCAGGGGCTCAGTACAAACCAGACAGTGGAATAAACTGACCTTGGGGAAACAACACCGCCTGCAGCCCCAGCTGCCACATCGTACGAGACGATCGTGTTGTCTTCAACCCGCTGCAAGATCTGAGGGGGGGGGGGGGGGGAAAGAGGAATAAAAATAAAAAGAGATTTCCTCAGACTGTGCCTGCAGGTCTGCACGTGCCAACAGCTGGGCGATACGGACCCTCCCCTAAAACAGCAGCAGGAATCAAAGCAACCGGAGTGTCTTTAGCAGCTGATCCGAGGCTGAGGGGGGTGAGCTCTCTGGCAGGGTGTGCACAGGTTTGTCTCCTGCTCTGGGACTGGTCCCTCTGCCTTTCTGGGGCGGGGGATGCACAGGCTTTGCCTTCAGATCCCCGCCACACCGACGGCGCAAAACGCCCAAACCCTCCCAAGCAAAAGCAGGCTTGGCTCAGGCGCTGGCCCATCTCCCTGCCCACCTCATGGGCTTTTGGATGGGCACACGCATGCAGCTGGCTGCCGCAGAGCGTTCGGATCGTACGGATGAGCGGCGGAGATTTAACGCCTCAGTGACTCGGATCCAGCTCAGCTCCAGTAGGACCTGGGCACCACCGACAGCCGGTGTTGGACTGGGAAGCTCCAACTCTCCGCTCCAAGGAGCTCCTGTGATTAAGCCATCTTTGTCCGGCACGCTCACCTGGCAAGCTGCCACTGTTCTGTTCCACAGGATCATCTTCTCAGGCTGGAGAATAACCTCCTGGTAAACTGTTTCAGCAGAGCACTGCAGGAAAGCCTGAGGACAGAGCCAGAGCAGTTAGCCAGTCCCCCACTCCACTTTGCTAAGATTATTTTTAAGGAACACAGGGTGGATGACAAAGAATAACTGGGGGTAGTACAGGAGGGGAGCGGCAAGGCTGGCCTGGCTCAGGCGCACGCAAAGCCAAGGCTGTCACCCCTTCTGCCACAGCGCTCTCGCTCCGGGGAGCCTGGAGGGCACACGTGGAGTCAGGGAGGACAGATCAGGCCTCGGGTTTCGGCAGCCTGCCGAGGTCCATGCTGCTGTAAGGGAGGGCAAGTGTCTGTCTGTAACACGGCGAGACAGACGGACCTTGGGGTTGGCTCCTCTCCCACCCGCACCCCGCTCTATCAGCAGTTCTGCTACGCGCGCGGGAAGTTGCCGAAAAGCTGTTTCTGAGCTCCAGCACAGACAACCTTCATTTCCCCACGTCCCCGTGGGACAGGGGATCTTTGGAGGCAAATGGTTAATGCAGTAAAGTGGGACCCATCCAGCTTTTCCTCGCGAACGCAGAGCTGCTCCATTGGCAGCTCCTGCCAGCGAGGCAACATATGCACTGGAACAAAGAAAAGCCACCGCAGCACCAATGCTTCATTAAAGCGTGGTTTACAGCCAAGCCACTCCAGCGAGGGCACAGAGCGAGGCACTTCCGAGCAGCTCTTCTCCATGCCAGGCAGCAGCAGACGCACGCTCAGCCCTGGTCTTGCTGGCAATTAGTTCCAATTAGCCTCCTTGGTCAGATTAGTCCTAGATGCTGGGGTTGGAAGCGAGTCTTGCAGTCACCTGCTCCCACTTCTACCAGCAGAGACTGGGGCCCATATTTGCTGGGGAGTTTGTCTGCCAGCCAAGGGGCTTTCCTGGAGAGATTCCCTAGAGCGCGCAGCGCAGTTCATCTGTCTCAAGCAAAGAGAGTGTGCTGTGCAGCCTGACCCGGCCTGCCAGGGCCAGGGCAGAGCGTGAAAGCTGAGCCGTGGCTCCCAGCAGAGCAGTCGCTCTTCACCCGTACCACGCAGGCTAAGGAAGTGATCCAGGAAGGTTCTTACCTTTAAAATAAAGGTCTTGCCGTGGAAAGGTATTTCGAAAGTGTAAACAACGTCACCAAAGTCCTGTGGAAGAAATTAAGGAAGTTAGGTTTATGTCAGCAAAAGGAATCGCTTCTTTCTGGGGTAAAGTCTGCGAGCGTGCAAACGCGGCGGCTGCAGGAGCCGTCCTGCCGCGCGGGTCGTCCTCGAGGACCCGCTCCAGCCCCTCCAACATCCCCCCGGCCCCCCACGCCAGGCAGCGGGGAGCACGTTTCAGAGGCACATGCACAAATTTCCATCAACAAAACAATATCCAGAGCGGCAGCAGTGATGAGACAGAAAAAGAAACCGCCCCATGCCAGCCTGCAAACTCCACGTCAAGGTCAAATTCTCTTTGTAGCAAGCTACCAACACCAGGGTAAGAGAAAGGGGTTAGTTTGCCAACACACTGCTGTTGTTACCTACATCTGAGAGGAGACTCCCCGGAGGGGTTAGGGACGGACAGATGATAACCTTTCATCATTAGCCCTGTGTTAAACTCTGATTAGTCTATTTAAATCCATCCCCCCTTTGGATAAAGAAAACAATCTGCCCAGCTAGTTTGGCGTCAGACAATGGATCACTTGACAGGGGAATTTTAAACACCAGATGAGACTGCAGTTTGCAGGACTCTCACCCCAGTCGCGTTGCGAGCCCACGAGCCGAAGGCAAGGCTGCTTTTAGGGGGCAGAGACACCGCCCCTTTCCCTCCACCCTTTTTTGGAGGGAGAAAGGAGCTCTAGGTACCCCAGAAACCTCTCCTGTAGCTCAGGGAAGGAACCAGCGCGGTGAGGGAAGAGGCAGGGCAGGGCCCGCTTCGCTTTGTGCTCCTCTGTGCTGCCCGGAGCAAGAGGTGGGACGTGCAGACAGACCCCTCTGGCGAAGCCACGTCCCCGATTTACACCCCAGCGCCCACGAGGTCCCTGTCCTGGGGAAGGGGGGCACACACAAACGGCTTTGGGGGCGGGAGGAGCAGCCTGTGCCCCTCAATCTCCTGCTCCCACGTGGGCCAGAAAGGCCGGACCCCAGCTGGGCTTGGGCTCCCCAGGATGCTCGAAGGCACTGTGCGGCGGAGCGAGGGCGGAAAGCCGCGGCAGCGGGGCACGGCTCCGCGGCCCAGCACCTCCCAAAGGTGAGCTGTCCGCCCCTGCCCGCCCGCCGGCTGGAGGGAGGAGTGATGGGCTCTCTCCTGTCAAACAGGAAGGCAATTAAACGTCTAATTAAATAAGAGGGGATTTTACATTTAACTGAACTGGAATAGATTCCTAATTCAATCAGGTAATTGTAACGCTTGTTAATTTTTCATGTCGCAAGGAGGTTTCAAAAGCCTCATTTGTCCTCCCGTTTTTGCTAAGCCATCCGTGCTTTCCGCCGGCCGCGCTGCCCGGCAGGTGGGGCGGGGGGACACTTGCATTGTTCTTCTCAAACTTCCAGTTCTCCTCCTGGGCGAGGATTTGGTCCACGACCTCCATCGCGTCTTTGCCTTGTCGGACATACTCTTTCTCCTAGGAGAGAAGGGAGCGTTTCATTAGCTGGGTGTGCAGGAAGCCTGAAGTGTGCGCGCGAGGCTTGCCGACCCCCCCTCCCAGGGCTGGCAGAGGGAAAGGGGCCATCTCCCATCACCACACCGCAGAAATCTCTTAATTTGGGTCACAGAGGCCTCATTTTGGAGCTCAAAGTCACGCTCCCCGCCCTGGCTTGCATCCACACACCAGCTGCGTCTACCGGCGAGCCTCCCGCCTCAACGTCAGGGTTTCCAGCAGGCAAAGGGCTACGGGATGCGCAGAGCTTCCTTCTGCAGGGGTGCCAAAACCGGGGCAGCAGAACCGCTTGGAAAGGAGCAGGAAGCAGCCGGCGCCCAGCCGGGCCTCGGGGAGCCACAGCTCAGCGACGAACTTCGAGGCGATGTCCTTCGTACGGGACCGGGTAACCAGGGCCCGAGGCGGGGAGAGGGAGGGGGCAGGAGGCGGGGGCAGAATCCCAGCGCCGCGGGATGCTGCTGGGGAGAGCGTGCCCCCCCCGGGGAAAGGGGGGTTAACGTCGGGTGTTAGCCGGAGGAGCCTGCTCCCGCGGTGGCCGCGGTTGCCACCAGAAGCACGAGGGGAACAGCCTGGCGCCGAGGGCCGGGCAGAGCAACTCGGCCAAACGTCCCCAGAACGGAAAGGTGTGAAATGAGGGACAGCAGCCGGCGGTGCTCCGCAGGTACAGCACCCCGCGGGGGCCAGCAGGATTGTCCGACTCCCACAGCCCCGACGACAGGCCTCGGGCCACGCTGCCTTTGTTTACCTGAGCTGTCAACGCCTTCCTCCCTGCACCTTCCTCATCCGACTCGTTGTCCGACCCTGGGGGGGGGGGGAAGCACGCGACGAACACGTGGTTGATGAAGACCCCGCTTGCACCACCTCCCCCTGACCTCCTCGTGGGGGACGGACAGCGTCCGATCCCCGTGCCCCATCCTGCTGACACAGCCCAGGCCCCTCTTTCCCCAAACGCCTCCGCCGAATCGCTCCGGCTGACGCCTCCTCGCTCCCGAGCGGGGCAGGACCCTGGGGCCAGCACGAGGCGGTGCCGCAGGGCAGCGGAGCGCTGCCAGCTCCAGCCCTCACCTGCTTGTGGCAACTCACACCGCCCCCCCCCGTGCCCTCACCCCGAGGGCAGCGTTTTTCGAGTCCTTCAGCCGCAGCTGAGAGCGTTTGATCCCAAGACCACAAAAGGCTCCAGTTTCCCACTGAGCCGGAGCCAGGAGCGCAGGGCTGAGCGCGACTCGGCTCCGCAGATGGCACCGAGACAGCGCGGCCGGGCCTGCCCTGCCCGGGCACAGCGCGAGGAGCCCGTTTCGCAGTGTCAGTTCTTGGAGGCCCTGCCACCCGCCACTGCCAAGGGCTAGGATAACGAGACAGAGCTCGGGGAGGAGGCAATTCCGGATAGGCGAGGAGACCCCGGGGGGAATGCTGAGAGGGGAACAAGCCGGGGAAGCGAGGCGGCCCCCGGCAGGAGGGGATGTCTTACCCGCGAAGGACTCCGGCGGGGAGTAGAACTGCCCCTCGGAAAGGGCTCCGGGGTAGAGCAGGGAGCTGCGAGAGGCTGCAGCCTGGGCTGCCAGGTACCCTGCGAACCAAAGCATGAGGTTTTACACACACGGCATCCAGGTCCTGGGGCCCCCGCCACAGCCACCCTGCCCACCACTTTCTTCCAGATACAGCTGGTCTTTTCGCACTGACACCGGCCAGCCCACAAGCTTTTCAGCTCCTATTGCCTCATCTTTTGTTTCAGACATTTTATCTGCATGGAGATCAATGGGCTCTTCTGCCTGTCAAATCCAAAGGCGATTAAGCATCTAATTAAATAAGAGCTTCCCCTGGAAGCAATTTGGAACCTGAGCCTAATCCAATAGAGGCATTAAACACTTGATCATTTTTCATCTTAAAGCCTCCTCGCAAGACCCAAACATCCTCTGGTGTTTTCCAGTCAGTCAGTGCATTTCTGATGGAGCCCAGCTTGACAAATTCTCCTTCGTTTACGTGCCCTTTCCCAGTCCTCTTTTTGTCAGTTAAGCCCGGGAGAGCGACAAACTCCTTGTGCTGCTTTAGGAAGGGGCAGACGTGCCAGTCAGGGCTGAGCACCCAGCCCCGAGAAGGACTCTGGAAGTTACAGGTGCCCGGCACTGGAGGGTAATTTGTAAAGCATTAGGTCAAACTCAACCTCCATTTAGTCTGACCTCAGCGACCAGAGGCTGTCAAATTTCACGCGCCATAACTCGCGCCGTGCCCCTGTAACGAGTCTGTGACTGAAGCAATCCTCCCCGAAAAGTCTCCAGCCCAGACCCGAGACAGATATCCAGAGACGGAGAGTCCAACAGTCCGCCTGGCACTTGGCCCGCTGTTTCAAAACATTTTCTCTGATGGGGAGGTGAGCTCTGTTTCCAACACGTCTGGCTTCAGGATCCAGACATTGGGGAATCTGGCATGTTTTTCTCCACTCAATTAAAAGATGCTTTTTATAAGCTGGTATTTTCTTCCCCTGAAGGGACTTGTATACCATAACAGAATTGAGTCAGGCACTTACCATCACAGCCAGCCTGGAGATCACTTCTCTATAAATGTCATATCTGTCAAGGTGCTGCCAAAGCAGCAGAAACCCCAGGCCTGGTAGTCTCATCTGCCAACTCCTACCAGAGAGGAGCAAAATACTCACATCGTTCCTCTTCTGCTTCCTGAGTTAGGACTTTAAAATCCAGGAACCAAGTCTCTAGCCAAGCAATGACAAACGAGACGATAGGAAGTAAATAGCCGAAAGCCCCTTTGGTCAGAAGCTGCGTGGAAGAAAGCAGAAACCACAGGGAGTTTACACAGACGGGAAAACAGCAGCATCAGGTAATCACAAAGCAATCCCCTGTGAGCTCAAGGAAACCAACCTTGGAGAGGATGACCTTCACAATCAGGAAGGCACTGGATACCAATGTAGTGACCTGAAAAATAAATTTACGTATCTCAGATCCCTGCAAGCTCCAGGCAGAGACAGAAAACTAAAAACAGGAAAGCAAAAATTGCCTTCTTACCGCTATGACCCACCAGTGGCGCAGCTTTACGATTGCATAGGCCAGCAGCAACACAAAAAACCGAAAGAAAGCCAAGACCTTTAAAAACAAAAAGCCATGGACACCATCACTGCCCTTGTCCCTCTGCCAGGTGCTGGGAGGACGCAGACACGGGCCAGCTCCTGAGGACCTCGTCTCCTAGCCAGAGGGGGGTCAAGGCTGCGACAGGATGGGCTGCGACCTGCCCGATTTCACTGAGCCAGGCGAGGGGCAAAGCTGCGGGGAGACCCCAGCCCCCCTCCAGGCACACGGACCCTCCCTGCCCAGCCTTCGGCCGCGCCACCCCCAGCAGCTCTAAAGCCGTTCCCTCACCCGCAGCAAATCTGGGGTACTCACAAATATATCAAAGAAAGAGGTCTTGAAATTGTACTTGATGATTTCATTCTCCAGGTTCTTCTGAATGCCATCCTTGGTCTGAAGGGGAGACAGGAAACCAGAAAGCCATTGAGTGCGCTGATAAGAAACTAATAGTAGGAAGAAACCGGCCAAGCGGTGACCGGAGGTTACCGCCGGGTCGGGTTATGCACCAGGCATACAAATGCCTGCGGCAGCCACGACACGGGCTCGTCTGCCAACGCGGGACCACAGGAGGCTACAACAGCCCATTTCACCCTCGGTTTCACACTGAGGAGCGCGAGTCGGGCAGCCAGAGCTGGAGCAGCTCACGGGTACATTAAACACTTCTGGGGGGGGGGGTGGGCTTTCTAACGCCGAAAAGCCACTCCTTCGGCTCAGCGCATCCGGCGCCATCGGATCACAACTCTCACAGCCTAAAGCCCTTGGTTGGACAACACCTCCCGCTCGTGCCCACCGCTTCCATGCGTGGCTTCGGGTGTCAGACTTCAGCTGTAGGGGAGGAGACGCGGAAAAAAAAACGAAAAACCCACAGGAAACGGCTTCTCTAGCGCCTTCAGTAACGCACCGAACAAAGTGTCTCCAGCTGGACAATCAAAACATCTCCCCCATGAGGGCTCTCAGGGGTCACTCAGCAACCTGGTGGAATTTAAACTGCGATCATCCTCGCTGTGCAAAGAACCCAGGGGTCCCCTCTCCCTTCGCCCAGGCCAGCTGGCTTCCCACAGCTCCCAGCAGTGCCGAGCTGCTCTCCAGGAAATCTGACGGAGGAAGTCAACCAGAAGGTTCAAACGTACTGGCAGAGGGGAAGAGGGAGGAGGGGAGGACGAGGGACGTGCACAGACACAGAGTGACTGCAAGGAAATCTGAGAGAGGCAAAACTGCTTTCTGGGATATCGTATGGGTGCGTGGAAAGAGCTTACGGAAGAGCTCTCTTGCCTCACCCCGAGACAATCTGGGGCCTGACAGCTCTGGTACTTTTGACACCATAAATCCTGTTCTCGGGAGCCTGGAATCGCTGTTTATGAGGAAGTGGATGGCTCAGGTAACTGGAACAAATGCTTCACCTTTAGGCTATTGGTTTGAACGCAGCCCAGCTGGCCTGGAAGCTGGTATAGGCTGACAGCTGTTTGATGATCTGTGAGAAACAAGTTGGTGGATCTCAGGCCAGTTCTTGGCAGCCTGGTGTCCTGGCACCCTCTTGTCAGACAGTCCAAGGACAGAAGAGGCAGCCATCGGGAAGCGGTCCCTCTAGGTCAGGGCTGGTGCTTAATATTCAGGGAGAGGGGGGCAAAGCAGTTCTGCACTATTGCTTTAACTGATCTGCGGCTGCAGGACTCGTGCCAGCCAGCTTTGCTGAGCTGCCTCCGAAAGCCTCTTCCCCACACCGTGACGCCGCCGTGAGATGCTGCAGGAGGAACGAGACACGGGGAAGGACTACGACTTCTGGGAGGTGTTTTCAGTTTAAATACAGGCCGCTGCCATGAACAAGGCAGAACCGTCTGAGGCATCTCTCCAAGAGCCGCGAGCTCGCAGAATTACAGTTTGCAGGCAACAGACATTTAACGAGGGCCAATTTGCTCAGCTTATCTTGCAGCAAAGGAAACGGTTTGATAAAAAAAGCATTAGTCATGATATAAAATCGTTGCTCTTCATAACTAGGCAAATAAGATGCCCTAATAGCTTTAAATATGCAGCATCCCAGCTCAGGGCCCAAATATCAGCAGTTAGTCACTCATTAATGGCTACCTGCAAGACCTATGCTCAGAATCACCCTGGTGACCGCGCTGGCAGATTGGCTCCCTGGGGCTGGATTGTTTTTGATTTGTAGACAGCACCTCTCCAGAGAGCCCAGCGAACAGGGACAAGAGCAGGAAGCCGGGGTCCGAGCCGGGCATGCAGGACACCATTGGCATGGCTGGAATGCTGGCTGAGAGATGATTTTTCCTAGGCTGGGGGGGAGCAGGGGTCTCTTCAGGCTCTCAACACTGCGTGGCCGGCTGCAGCGGGCAGGGTGAGGGAGCTGCTGGCCGAGACAATCTGTTAAGTGCAGACACCCAGGAGATAAACAGGGCAGAGATAAGAGCTGCTAAGTGAGCGCAGGATCCAGTGCTGATAAATAAAGGCCAGACACCGGCAGGGCCGCACGCAGAAGCGCTGGGGTCTATCTGTTCATCTTGCCTCCCTGCTCGGGTTGTTCCACAGGAGGACATGCAGTACCTGGAACCCACCGTCACCACGGCGGAAACCAGTCAGGAAAAAACAAAACCAAAATACAGCCCAGGGAGTAACTTTGACCTGATGGGACCGGGGTAAATAAACTGGATTTCCCTGGTCATTGCAACAGTTGACACACTGAGCAGACGCAGCAGCCTCCGTCGGTGTGACAGGCGCTTCGCAGAGGACCAAAATCCCCCCGGTCCCCTTCGCCGGTCCCCTCTGCGCTGGAGCAGCACCTCTGGCTTTCAGAAGCTGAGATTAGCAGCAGCATGTCAGGACCAAAGCTCAGCGCCTCCCTCGTCTCTGCCCAACAGTTGGGTGGGTGAGAGGAGGGTCTGCACATCCTACCCTGCTCCTCCCGTGCTCCAAGAAGACGACGCTGCGGCAAAGCTGGCAGCTGCTGGGCAAACACAGCGAGCGGCTTCACTTAAAGCAAGGGGAGCAGGAGAGAAATTTGGCCAATTGCTCAACCTGGCGATTCCACGGGCCCCAGATCTTGTTACACTACAACACAGAGCGCTACACGTGACGGCGTTAACAACCCTGGGCAGCCACAACAGAGCCCGGTTTCAGGAAACGAGCTGGACTTTAGTTTACACTAACTGTGCAGTGGTTTCTCAGCCAGCACAAATCACCAGAGCGCTGGGAAGAACAAACAAAGACCTGGCGCAAGAATTTTGCAACGGAGCAATTAAGGCAGAGGGAACTGAATTAAAAAAGCCCAACTTAAAGGGGCAAAGACTCCACGGATTTGCTTCTCCCCAACTTACATTCAATTCGATTATCCACAACAAAGAGATGAAGAGCAGGTCGAAGGTGACAAAGAGGCAGAAGGTTCTCCTCACATCCGAGATGGCTTTCCTCTTCTCCGGAGAGAAGTAGCAGTACGGGGAGAAGCCCTGGCTCTGGGAGAACGAGGTGCTGATGGACGCTATGGCTGGGAGGCTTCGTTCCAGGTCGTGCTGCAGGTCTGTCGGTTTGCTCATCCTTGGCCCAAGCCACTTGGGTCCTACGTCGATCAGGGCAACATCTGCCAAGTCAGTGCATCACCTGCGGGGAGACACAACGGGGAACCCTCAAGCCTCGGGGGTCTGCATACCCCCTTCTCACCCCTCTAAAGGCAAATTATTATTACCAAATGAGATCCTGCCTGTCTGATACAGTTCCGGAGGGAAAAAGCTAATACTGGCTTTTGGGCTGGCAAAGAGCCTCCCTCTCTGAAGCGAAGACACCCAGGGCTGCCCCATCTCACCCTGGCACCCAACGTTCACCAGCACCAGCAGAGACCCTCCTTTCCTCCTTCCCTGCAGTGAGCGAGAGGGATGGGCTGCGAAAGGCTCAGAGGTGCAGGGCGACCGCGGAGCCACCAGCAAGTGTCCCTGGGACCCAGAGGCAGCCACCCAGAACACGCTCGCAGCACGGCAAGCCAAGCTGGCGGCCCCAGCAGCAGATGGCAAACCCCACGGAGATGCCGCGGCAGCAGGAACAGGGGCCTCGGGGTGTTCCTGTGGAGGCCCGTGCTCTGAAAGGCAGCAGGTCCTGGGATCCCGGAGCCACCCCAAGCTGCAGCAGCCTCCTCCGCAGGGGCACGGATGCTAAAGCTCCCAGGGGCTCCACATTTTGCACAAGGCAAACCATAAAGCCTCGGGAGCCGGTCACGCCGTCGGATCCCATCCGGCACGGCCGAGAGAAGAGCCTGCTGCCTTTGGGAGTGGCTCAGGCCAAGCAGAGCAGCAGGAAGGCAGCAGGGGAAAGCGCTGCTCTCTGTCCCGGCCGCGGCGGCTGGCAGTGCCGGGCACACAACCCCAGCGCCAGCGAGGTGTTGAGGTCTGAAGGCTGTTTTCAGGCAGCCCGTGCCAACCATTGTATTAAAATTTTTCCTCTCCGTCAGCACCGCACAAGGAGGCCACTATGTTAATTGCCCGCGCAACTAAGCACACGCTGGAGACAAACAAGGAAAGAGGATGCCAAAACAGGTCAGGCCAGGGATATGTCAGTCCCCGGCTCCGCCACATCCAAGTCACCCACAGCAAAAGGCACAGCTACAGACTCCTTCTCTGCAAAATACTCCTGCTCACGGACATTTTGCCTCCAAAAAAACAGATTCTTTGCTGCATTAGCTGCTGCCCCAGCAGTTCTGCATCCTCCAGGATCCGAGTGAGGTTTGTTTGTCTACAACAGATCACGCTCGCCACAACCAGGAGGCTGCAGCCACGCAACGTCCGAGGAAAAAAGCCCCAAGACTGCGCCCAGACCTGCGGGAAGGGGCAAGCCAGGGGTGCTGCCGAGCCCCACCGGACGCTGGAGCAACTGCAAGAGCTGAGCAAAACCAGATTTGGGGGTGATTTTGGATCCCTGCACCAGCAGCTTCTGCGTCCCAGCCCCCAGGGAGCGCCGGGGCTGGAAAGGGAACAAAGCTGGACTCCTGTCAAGTCCCTGTTAGTCTCTCTCGGAGACACTTCGGAAGGAGCTGGAAGAGTTGTCACTTCGGATCAGCCGCAACGACCACGGCTCTTCGCTGCTCCGAGCGAGGGACCCATCTCAAACTGAGAAAAGTTAAAGACATCTGTGAGCGCTAAATAATACATCACCTCATGCCCGGGCTGCCTCCTCCCCTATGGCAGGGTGTCGCCACCTCCTTCCTTCAAACACCACTTTGCACTTAGGCAGCCCCCCGCAACTTTCACAGTGCTTTAAAATCACCCTGTGAGACTCGCCGGCCCCGCTCCCCCGAGGCAGAACACCAGGCCACGGGAACCGGTGCGAGCCCTCATGCAGCTCAGCCAACCTAAACCCACCCGTCATTAAAGCCCAGCCTTCCCCGTGAGGTTTAACCCTGCTTCAGAAGCACACCCATCCCAAACCAACCGGCAATAACCAACTCCTGGGGAAGAACCGGCGACAAGGGCTTTACCTCAAGAGCACCGTGGGACAGAGCAGGATTTGGCAGAAATATTTTAAGCCCAGATGAGGCCCCCCAACTGGGACTGCTCCCTCAGGCAGGAGAAAGCTCAGAGCAGAAAGAGCAGGGGCTGGATCTGAGCGTGTATAAATGTGCCTTTTTCTGGGTGACAGATAAATTATTGAGCGCCCCGGTGTTGTATTATGCATTCAGACATCCTCCGCAGCCTGCGCCGCACCGGCTGCCGAGCCACGAGCCGCTTTTGGGGGTCCTCGAGCAGCGCAGCTCCGACGGCCGACACACGGGGCCGGGGAAGCACAAGTGGCACGTGCTGCCCGGAGGGACACCCCGGGTGACAATAACACAGTCCAAAGGGGCACCCGCCCCAGGGACGCCTCAGAGGTTTTCTGGTTACAGAAAAAAGGGGTTCTTAAAACTTTGAGGAAAGATCTGGTTTCTTTTTGCTGGCGAGACCTCCCGTTTTGAGGATGAAGAAGGATGCGAGAGGGGACCGGTGACATCCTGAGACAACACCAAGCACTGACACCCAGCCAGCGCTGCCCCAAAGCTCCAGGTGGCAAAACGCCAGGACGCTGGACACCGAAAGGGACCCAGGGCCTGCGCTGAGGCACGTCCCGTCCCTGCGAAAGGCTGGAGCAGCCCCTGCAAAGCTCCAGGGTCACCCCCCTCCCCAGCGTCACCCCTTTCCACTCTCAGCTTTTAGATTCAAATCACAAGCTTCTCATTAGCACACGTTTGCATGTTAATGACATGTCTTACAGTAAGAAACCTTTCCATCTTGTGACACCGCTTCTCCTTTCCTCCTGCGCCCCCGACTTCCTATTAATGTGTCTTCTCAGCTCACATGACGACTTCAACAGCTAATTCTCATGTCACCTCTTCTGAGAGTTACAGCCTTTGCACCAAACGCTGCACCAGGAGAGAAAACACCTGGGGAGCGAGAAGGACGGGGCCTTTCAGAGACACCAACTCACCAGACACTAACACGCGTCCGAGCTTCCTAGAGGGCAGACATGCCTTTAAAACAAAAAAGTTAAATATTAAATTAGTCACTAAACCTCACTCAAAAAAAAAAAAAAAAACAAAAAAAAACCCCAAACATTAAATGAGCCAACATCTTCAGCAAACCACTTGACAGGCCCCGTCGTATTTGTGGCTGGGACCCCAAAGGGCTGAGGCCGTTTGGTTTTCGAGCACCCCCAGATGTGCCGTGATCCCGCAGCAGAGGCACGGTGCGGAGCTGCCCTCGCCCCGATTTGCAGCTTTCCCTAAAGCACCTTCCAGGGCTCATCTGGGCCCGTGCCTGACGCTGGGAAAGGTCTCCCTGCCAGGCACGTTACGTGCTGGCTCCCGGAAGCACGAGTGACAGGCAAGGACCGTGGTAAAGCAGAGCGACGAGGGGGATCGGGGCTGCGGCTTCGGCCTCCCTGTGAACAGCTCAAAAGGCCGGGACCCCCCAGGGAGCCCGTCCCCTCCCCGGCACCGCGGGCAGAGCCAGGGAAACGCCAAGAGCCTCGTGAACAGCCAGCACGCCAGCCTGGCCCTGGCCACCGCCTTGCGAGCCCCTTTTGCCCCAGCCCCTCCCCGGGGGAGCGAGCCCCTCGGTGCCCGGTGTGCCGGGGGTGGGAACGGCTCAGCCGCGTGCTGCCGCGTCCCGGGGAGCGGGGAACGTTCGGGTGTCGCTCCTCTGAGCCGCTGTGTGTCAGGGGAGCTGCCTCAGGAAGTGTAAACCGAGGGCTGAGCCAGCCCCGGGGCCCCGTCCCGTGCTGCCTCCCCCCCCACCCGACCCCTCTTTACAACCAACTTCCAGCCTCATCCCCCCCCCCCCGGCCCCCCCATTATCCTCCTCGTTAGCGCTCCGCATCACCACGCTCATTTTCAGTGGCAAGGTGGTTGCCTGAACCCTCAGTTGGCACCAGCTAAGAGTTGGGGCTCAGCCCCTCTCCCTCCCTGGCTCAGGGTGCCCTTGGTGGGTGCTGCCCCCCCCCCCCCCCCCCCGAGCTCGAGGTGGCAGTGAGAGGCACAGCCTGCTTGAACATTTTGGGGGGGGGGGGGGGGGGCCCACGGTGGGACCCCACTGGCAGCATCTGCTGTCACCGTGCCGTGACCAAAACCCACCCGGTCCCGTGGTGTGGAGCAGGGTATGAAACACAGGAGGGGGGGGGGGGGGGGGGCAGACCTGGGGGTCTTCGTGGAGACCCTGGCCCCGAAGCAGCGGGGGATGTGTCTGTGATAACGGCCCCGAAATGAACCCCCAAACGCGGAGCAGCCCCCCCACCCCGAGCCATCGCGGGGTGCAGAGAGCAGTTTTACAGCGGGTTTGTAAAACCAGGCGGCGGGTTCTCCCTCCCCAGGGGGGCCGCCAGGTTTCCCGTGTGGATATTAGACCCCCCCGAGCTCCCTGCCCACAGCAGGTTTCTGGCCGCCAGTGGAGAGGGGCCCTGCTCACACCAACCCCCCCACACCCGGTACCCGGCACAAGGCCCAAAACCTCCGGGGAGCCGGTAACGGGACCCCCCCCGGCCCGAAGCCTCCAGGGAACCGGTAACGGGCCCCCCCCAAGCCTCCGGGTAACGGGCTCCCCCCGGCCCAAAGTCTCCAGGGAGCCGGTAACAGACCCTCCCCCAAATGCCTCCGGGAAACCAGTAACGGGGCCCCCAAAGCCTCTGGGGAGCCGGTAACGGGCCCCCCCATAGACTGAACGCCGGTAACTGCCCCTCCCCAAGGACTGAACGCGGGACCCCCCGCAGACAGTCGTGTGGCGTGGCGTGGCGTGGCGTGGCGTGGCGTGGCATGGCACGACCCTCCACCCCCCCCCCCCCCCACCTCCTCCCGGAGGCCGCGCTGCGGGACCGGCCCCAATGACCCCCCGGCCCTGTCCCCGCCGGGGCCCGTCACCCGCGCAGGCCCAGGCCCAGGCCCGCCCGTGCCTAGAGCGGGGCCGGCCCCCCCAGGGCCCCCCCGGTACTGGTACCGGTATCGGTACCTGCCGCCGCCCGGTGCTCGGTGCCGGTCCCCGCCGGAAGCGAACCCCGGCGAGAGCCGCTTCCGACCCCGCGCCGCCGCCGCTGACCCCGGAAGGGAAACGCCAGAGCGAGGCTGTGCCGGCACCGACCATCGCTGGCCGGGGGGGGGGGGGGGGGGGGGGGGGGCAGGCGAGCGGCTGGGCCCAACGGGGTAGAGGAAGAGACCATTCCCCACCGGGGGGTTGTGTGTGTGTCAGTGGGACGAGGGAGACCCCATTCCCCATGGGGGGGGGGGGGGGGGGTCAGTGGGGCTGGGAGGTACCATTCCCCACCGGGGGGGTCATTGGGGTGAGGGAGACCCCATTCCCCGTGGGAGGGGGGGCCATGGCGGCACCGGGCTCTGACCCCACAGCCATACCCCACAGCTCCCCGCTCTCGCCCCACAGATGCTCAGACACCCCCCCGATCCCCTGCCCCCCCCCCCAGCCTGTGTCCCCCCCCAGCCCCCCCCCCAGCCCCCCCAAAGCAGGCTCCGACCTCTCTGTACAGCCGTTTATTGCGAGGGGGGAGGGGGGGGGGGGCTCTGCTCGATGGGGGGGGGGGGGACACAGGAGCTGGAGGGGGGGATCCAGGAGATGGAGGGGGGAACCCAGACCCCCCCAGCACCCCGGGGGGGGGGGGGGGGGGGGGGGGCCGGCCCTGGCTCCTGCCCTGGCAACCGGAGGGGTGCGAGGGCTCCCCAGGGAGGGGACCCCCGGCACCGAAACGGGGTGACCGTGTTGGGGGGGGGGGGGGGGCGGAACAGGGCACACGAAGCGCAGGCAGGGCGGGGTGGGGGGGTGGTGGGGGGGGGCAGGCGGGATGGAATTGGGGGGGCCCTGGCGAAGCTGCTGCAGCCGGGGGCAGCCGGGGTGGCTGGCGCCCAGCGCCGGCTAACTGGTGCCCAGTGGGAAGGTGGGCGAGTGGCGCTCGGTGCCGACGGGGCGCGGGGGCACCTCCGCGAAGCCGACGCGTCGCCGCTCTGGGGGGGGGACGGAAAAACGGCGGCAGGGTCAAGTTTGGGGAGACCCCCCCCCCCCCTCACCCCCTGGTACCGGGGCCACCCGGTTTCACACGGGAGGGGGGCCACCCCGCGTACCCCCGGTGCCGCCGTCCTCCGGCTCTCGTCCCGGCTCCTCCTCGTCACCCTCCGCTCCCTCGGGGTCCTCGGGGATCTCCGATACCGTCAGCGACTTCAGGTCCTGCCCGCGCTCCTCCATGCCGCCGGCGAAGGACACCTTCTGCCCGCCTGCGGGCAACGAGGCCGGGGACCCCCAGCTCCGGGGTGACCCCCAGCCCCGGCACCCACCCCCCCGCCATGTCCCCCCGCCGTCCCCTCGCCGTTACCTTTCCGCTTGTGCGCCTTGGGGCCGGCGGGGAAGAAGCTCCGCTCGGCTCTGGCCTGGCTCCCCGGGGCTTCTCGGGTGGGTGACGATGAGCCGGGGGGCAGAGGAAGGCAACACGGTGGCACCGGGGTCCGGATGGCGTCGGCGCGGCCCCGGCCAAGGGGACATGGTGGCCCCCGCGGAACCCGCTCGGACCGGGGCGAGCGGGCAGCAGGTCCAGGCAGCCAGCTTGTGTGTGTGTGTCCCCGGGTACCCACCCTGTCCCCGAGGGCTGGTGGGGGACGGTGGCACCCGTCCCTGCACCCCTGGGCTCCAGCAGCCCCGTCCCCATCTCCCCGTGTCCCCCAAGCTCCAGCAATCCTGTCCCAATGTCCCCAAGGCTCCGTCAACCCTGCCCCCGTCTCCCTGTGTCTCCTGTGATCTGGCAGCCTTGTCCCCATGTCCCCTGGGCTCCGTCAGCCCCATCCCCATCTCCCTGTGTTCCCCAAACTCCAGCAATCCTGTCCCCACGTCCCCAAGGCTCCAACATCCCCGTCCCCATCTCCCCATGTCCCCCAGGCTCCAGTAATCCTGTCCCCACATCCCCTGGGCTCCGTCAGCCCCGTCCCCATCTCCCCCAGCCGCTAGTAATCCTGTCCCCACGTCCCCAAGGCTCCAGCAGCCCCATCCCCATCTCCCCATGTCCCCCAGGCTCCAGCAATCCTGTCCCCGTGTCCCCTGGCCTTCAGCAGCCTTGTCCCCATGTCTCCATGTCCCCTGGGCTCCAGCAGCCCCATCCCCATCTCTCCATCTCCCCCAAGCTCCAGCAATCCTGTCCCCATGTCCCCAAGGCTCCGTCAGCCCCGTCCCCATCTCCCCATGGCCCTCAAGCCCCAGCAATCACGTCCCCATCTCCCCTGCGCTCCGTCAGCCCCATCCCCATCTCCCCGTGTCCCCCAGGCTCTGGCAGTCCTGTCCCCATCTCCCCAAGGCTCTGGCGGCCCCCTGTCCCCCGCCCTGTCCCCCTCACCAGGCTCAAGGGTGCTGTCGGGGTCACAGGCGTGGGCCAGCTCGCGCTCCCCGTCATCGGGTTCCCCATCAGAGCTGTCACCCCCGGCCAGGCCACTCTCCAGGTGGGACTGCACGATGCGCTGCACCGCTGGGGAGGCGCTGGTGTCAGGACCCCATTCCGGGCACTGGGAGCACTGGGGTCTCCCCACAGAGCCGTGTGGAGTGGTGTAGGGGTCCAGTGTACCCGGGTGCCCCCAGCCCACCCTGCGCAGCCCCCCGTGCCTCAGTTTCCCCATTCAGACGGCGCCAGCCGGTACCTTTGAGCGAGGGCGGCGTGTAGGCACACGGGTTGGTCCTCTTTGGTTTAAGCAGGCAGCCCTCACCGGAGGCGCGCTGCGGGACGGAGGGGTGTTGGGGTCAGGGTGTCCCCCCCCAATGGCAGCGGCCACCGTGACCCCAGGGGAGCCAGGCACCCCCTGGGGAGGTGGTTGCTCTGACGGGGGTCTCGCAATGGGGACCCCGGCACGAGGACGCTGCGATGGGGGTCCCGCAGCGACCCTTCCCCGAGGACAAGGACCCTGCCGCGGGGGACCCCGGGGTTGTGTCCCCATGACGGTCACGAGGCGATTTGCTCCAGGGCCAAACCCCACAGCCTGGCTCGGCTCCGTGTCCCCGTCCCCGTCCCCGCAGCGCCGGCGCCGTGCCGGGCAAGGAACCGATAAGCGCCGGGGCCAGGCCGAGACGGGGTGGCGGGTGCCTGGGCTGCACCCCGATAACACCCCCCCCCCAACCCCCCTGCAGTGCCCAGGGAGCTGTGGGGCCGCCCCGGGGGTCCCGGCGCCCACTCACCTGGTAGGGCAGGGACTCGTCCTCTGGGTCGGAAGCACCGGGGAGAGAGGGGTGAGCGGGCCGGGGGCTGCTGGCCCCCGACAGAGCCGGGGCAGCTCCCGCACCCCCCCGGACCCCCACTCCAGGGGGTTACCCTGCCCACCAGGGACCTGCCACCCCATCCCCTCCCTGCCACCCCATCCTTTATGGGACACCATATCCCCTCCCTGCCACCCCATCCCATCCCTGCCACCCCATCCTTTATGGGACACCATATCCCCTCCCTGCCACCCCATCCCATCCCTGCCACCCCATCCTTTATGGGACACCATATCCCCTCCCTGCCACCCCATCCCATCCCTGCCACCCCGTCCTTTATGGGACACCCCATCCCCTCCCTGCCACCATGTCCCATCCCTGACATCCCACCCCATAGTGACACCGCATCCCACCCCGCCACTACGTCCCCTCCCTGTCACCATGTCCCATCCCAGATATCCCATACCATGCATGACACCACATCCCATCCCTGCCACAATGTCCCATCCCTGCCACCACCTCCCCTCCCTGGACCCAATGTCCCCTGCCACCATGTCCATCCCCAGCCGGTCCCGGTCCCGGTCCCTGTCCCTGTCCCTGTCCCTGTCCCTGTCCCGCTCACCTGGGGAGGAATGCTCGGAGAGCTGGAAGAGCATGGCCGGCGTGGGCCTCCGCCGCCGGATCTGAGGCACAGCGGGGTGTCACCAGCTGGGGACACCGGGGGTCCCCTGTCCCCTGCCCGGACCCCAGGGCTGAGACCCCACGCACATGCCTGCACGCGTGTGAGCCTGTGTATGCGTGTGAGCGCGGGTGTGGGCAGGGAGCGTCTGGGACCCTGGCAGGGGGTGCGGGGGGGCACCCAGCCCGGGGCCACCAGCGGGGAGCAGGGGACAGGGGACACCCAGCTCCAGCCAGGCCAGGGGTCCCCGGAGTGGGGGTCCCCACTGAGTCAGCGCCACTGAAAGGTGGAGTGCCCCACAGAGGGGTCCCCACAATGTCCTCGGTCCCTCCCAGCCCCACGAGAACCCCAGCTCCTGCCCAGTCCCTCCATGGGGACTCTGGGTCCGGTGATGTGCTGGGGACGTCCCCTCAGGCCAGGCACAACCGGCCACGGGTGGCTGCATCGACCCCCAGCGTGTCCTGTCCCCTCTGTCCCGTCCCTTCCCTCCTGCCCCATCCCTGCCCCATCCCTGTCCCCTCCATCCCGTCCCTTCCCTCCTGCCCCATCCCTGCCCCATCCCTGTCCCCTCCATCCCGTCCCTTCCCTCCTGCCCCATCCCTGCCCCATCCCTGTCCCCTCCGTCCCGTCCCTTCCCTCCTGCCCCATCCCTGTCCCCTCCATCCCGTCCCTTCCCTCCTGCCCCATCCCTGTCCCTGTCCTGTCCCCTCCGTCCCGTCCCTTCCCTCCTGTCCCATCCCTGTCCCCCCCGTCCCATCCCTTCCCTCCTGTCCCCCCACAAAACTCTCCCTCTACTCAGGACCGTGGCTCGCACGGGGGCACCTTGGACCTCTCTTGTCCTGTCCTCGCCTCTCCCTCATCCCATCCTGTCCCCCCGACCCAGTCCCGTCCCCTCTCTGTCCCTCTTGTCCCATGCCCTATCCCCTCTGATCCCCCTTGTCCTGCTCTCCCGGTCCCATCCCGTCCCTTCCGATCCCACTTCTCCAGCTCTCCCAGTCCCATCCCACTCTGTCCCCATCCCTCCCACAGGACCGAGCTCACACCTCGGGGTTCTCCCATGTGTGTGTGTGTGTCCCCCGATCCCTCCCGGGGGGTCCCTCGTCACCCTGAGGTCACCGGCAGCGCTCGCGCTGCCGGTGACCTCAGGGTGACGAGGGACCCCCCGGGTGACCCCGTACCCCGATGGCCACCCTCACCATCTCGACGGCGCGGGGGTCCAGCTGGCTGGGGGGTGCCGGCACCGAGAACTGGATCTTTTTGCGGTCCTTGGGGTCCATGGCCTTGACCGTGCGTCACCGTCACTGCCGGAGAAGCCGGGGGGGGGGGGGAATGTGGGGGTGGCCAGGGAAAGGAGGAGGGAGGTGGGGGGGGGGGGGGTTCGTCTCTGCCACCGGTGCCGAGCGGAGTTCGGTAGCACCCGGGGCTCGGTACGGGCGAGGACTGAGAGTGACGGGAGGTGGGGAAGGCAGAGCCGGTGAGGAGGAGGAGGAGGAGGAGGAAGGAGAGGGAGGGAGGACACATCTCCTACCAGGCACTGAATTATTCATCCCCCCACCACCACCACCACCTCCCCGGGCAGGGGGGCTGAGGCCGTGGTAATGAGCCCTTGGGGAGCCCCCGAGGGGGGTTCAGCCAAGCTGTGGGGGGCTCTTAACCCCTTCTTTGCCGGGAGGGGGGGGGTGTCCCCTGACTGCGGTGGCCAGTTCAAACGGGACGGGACAGGGATGGGAATGGGTACCTCCACGTGAGTCCCCATCCCTCGTGCCTCAGTTTCCCCACAGAGCCACAAGCGGGGGGGGGGGGCAGGGGCATGGCTGCTTGCACCCTTGGTTGGGCATCAGGAAAATCCCCCCCCCCCCCCGCTGCTTTGTGCCACACGGGACAGGGACACTGCTCAGGCAGGGATGGGATCCCCCCAGGGGACATGGGACCCCCAAAATGTCCCATCGCCTGTGTGCCAGGGATCCCCCCCCACACCCACCACCCTGGGGACACTGGGGTGAACTGGTGCCAGGGTACTATGCCCTTACCCGGCACCGTGCCCGGCTGTCCCGGCTCTGCCTCGGCTCTTGGTGGTTTTCCCAGTGTAAAATTCCACCAAACCCAAAGTTTCCCCCCGGGAAATACGGGGGGCTCGCCCACCCCCACCAGCACAACCTCCAGCCTGGGCACCTCTCAGCGCTTGTCAGGCCCTGCCAGGGGGGACCCCAGCATCGAGGGCACCTCTCCCAGCCCTGCCGTGGAGGGGGCACAGCCGGGGGGGGGGGTCCCCACGCAGGGGGACAGCGGGGTCACCCACAGCTGGACCGGTGGCACCCATCCCCTCACGGGGGGGTCCCGCCGGGGGCCGGGGCGGTGGCGGCGGGGCTGAGGAAGCCGCCCCTGAAGGAGGAACGAGGAAGGGGGGAGCCGGGAGCTGGCTCCAGCCCCCGGATCTCCCGGTGCTCCAACGGCTGCGGGTGGCCGCGGGCCAGCAGCCGCCGCTCCAGCAAAATATTTACCCGAGTGGCACCGTGCCATGGACCAGCCTCCCGCCCGCCCGGCCCCACGCGGCAAAGCACGGCAAAGCCCGGCTCTGCGCGGCAAAGCGTGGCAAGGACTGGCTCTGCATGGCCAAACGTGGCAAAGCCTGGCTCTGCGTGGCAAAGCTTGACAAAGCCCGACTCTACGTGGCAAAACATGGCAAAGCCCGGATCTGCACGGCAAAGCATGGCAAAGCCTGGTTCTGCATGGCAAAGCCCAGCTCTGCACGGCAAAGCCCAGCTCTGCACGGCAAAGCATGGCAAAGCCTGGTTCTGCATGGCAAAGCCCAGCTCTGCACGGCAAAGCCCAGCTCTGCACGGCAAAGCATGGCAAAGCCTGGTTCTGCATGGCAAAGCCCAGCTCTGCACGGCAAAGCCCAGCTCTGCACGGCAAAGCATGGCAAAGCCTGGTTCTGCATGGCAAAGCCCAGCTCTGCACGGCAAAGCCCAGCTCTGCACGGCAAAGCATGGCAAAGCCTGGTTCTGCATGGCAAAGCCCAGCTCTGCACGGCAAAGCCCAGCTCTGCACGGCAAAGCATGGCAAAGCCTGGGTCTACATGGCAAAGCTCAGCTCTGTGCACCAAAACATGGCAAAGCCTGGCTCTGCATGGCAAAGCTCAGCTCTGCGCAGCAAAGATGGCAAAGCCAGGCCTTAGGGAGCCGAGCTTGGCCCCACGGCACAGCGCAGCCCCATGCGGCACTGCCCACGCCGTGTCCCTGTGGGGCTGAGCCGGGGGGCTGGGGTGAGGGGTCCCTCCGTGCCGGGGTCCCCGTGCCAGGCTCTGAGCATCATCCCGGGGACCCGGGTTGTTATGGCAACAGGTTCCCGGGCTCCTTCCCGCTGCCGTTCCCGCTCCTCCCGCCCGCGAAGGCGCTGTGCGAGGGGGTGGCCGGGCCCCCTCCCCTCCCCGCGCTGCGGCAGCACCCGCAGCCCCCCGGGATCGGCACGCCGCCCGCACCCACGCAGCCCTGCGCCCACAGGCAGCACCCACAGCTGGCTGCGGGGGGGAGGGGGTGCGTGTTACCGCATCAGGGCCGGCACCCAGCACCCAGCACCGTGCTGGGGAAGGGGTGCGGTGGCCGAGCCCCGCTCCGTGCCACGCGGCTCCGGGCACACGTGTGCCACGCGTGGCCACGCTCCTCGCCGGGTCAGCGCTTTCCTGGCGCCGCGGGCACTCGGGCTGCTCCGTGGTGGGCAGGGGTAGAGTCAGCAGCGCTCGTGCCGTGCCGTGATGTGCCGTGCCGTGCCCATCCCCGTGCCGTGCGGCGGGGGCTGCAGCTCCGCGCAGCAGCAGCAGATCCTCCTGCAGAGAGAATAAAAATAGCAGCAGGTTCAGGGAAGCGGCGCTCGCCGCCTCGTCCCCCGCCAGCGGGCACCGGCGAGGAGCGGGACCCGTCACCCGTGGGGCCGGGCACGGCGGGGACACGGTGTCGGGAGGGGAGGGGTGCTGTGGGGCTGGGGCGGCATGGAGGATGGGTTGTCGTGGGGATGGGGTGTCGTGGGGACAGGGGACACCAGGGACGGAGCATGGTGGGGACAGGGTGTCGTGGGGACAGGGGACACTGGGGACGGAGCGTCGTGGGGATGGGATGTCGTGGGGATGGAGAGTCACGGGGACAGGGGACGCTGGGGACAGGGTGTTGTGGGGACGGGGTACACCAGGGACGGAGCATGGTGGGGACAGGGTGCCACGGGGACGGGGCGTCGTGGGGACAGGGTGCCGTGGGGACGGGGTACACCAGGGCCGGAGCATCGTGGGGACGAGAGGAGAGGGGGACGCCGGTTTCTGGGTATAAAAGGTGAGTGTCGGGGGGCGGGGCCTGTGCGGTGGAGTGGGAGGGGCCATGGGGGGGCGGGGCTCGGGCGGAGGGGGGTGTCGGGGGGTGCCGGGGCCCCCCCAGTGCCCCTCACCCTGGGTATCCCCCTCCGGACGCCTGGGACCCCTGCCCGGCCCTGCGGGGTCCCCTCCGAGCTCCCCCCGAGCCCCCCCGCACCACAGGGGTCGTCCCCCCCCCCAGCAGCTGCGGCCCCCCCGGAGATGTAGCGGGGGCGACCGGGTGGGGGCCGGTTCTCCCCCCCGGGCGCGGAGGAGGTGTGGGAGTGGGAACACGCGTGGGAGCCCGAGGGGGTGGCGTGAAGGGAGAAGGGGGGGAGGGGGGGGGCGGGCCGCGGGGCCCTTAACCCCTTCCCTGCTGGGAGCTCCCCCCAGCGACCAACCTGGGGGGATGCGGAGGGGAAGGGGGAGCTGGGAGCAGCCCCTTCCTCAAATGGGGCTGAGGGGGGGGCGGGGAGCTGCCAGAGGGGGAAACTGAGGCACTGAGCAGCACTGACAGGACTTGGGGGGGGGGGGGGGCTGCAACATCATAACACCCCACACACACACGTTGGGTCTGGGGGGGTGGGCGGGACACAACCCCCATTCCCTGGAGTGATTGGGGGGGGGGGGGGGGGGAGCTCCAACCCCAGTGCGAGGAGGGTCCGCGTCCCCACATCCCCAGTGGGGTGGGGTGTCCCCAGTGGGGTGGGATGGGGTGTCCCCAGCAGGATGAGGGGGGGTCCCATCCCTGCGCCCCAGCAGGGTGGGCAGGGGGGGCTATGGCCTGCTGGTGTGTCGTGTCCCCCCCCCCCTCCGCCCCGGGCTAGTCCTGGCCCCGGTGACCTCGCCAGCCCGGCCGTGCCCGTTGGTGCTGCCGGCAGTTGTCATCCCCGGCGCTGGCACGGCCGGGCTGGCACGGCCACCCCGGGGCTGGCACGGCCACCACGGTGCTGGCACCGGCCACCCGGCCAGCACGGGCCTGGCCACTGGCTCACGGGTTTTGGCACGGGGTGGCCGGAGCTGGGAGCCGCGGCTGGAGCCGTCGTGGTTGGCGGCCACCGGCCCACGCCAAACCTCGTGGCCACGCGTCTGGGTGGGACCGGGGGGCTTGGGGAGGGGGGGGGGGGCAGGTGGGAGGTCCTGGGATGACACCCCCGGGGCAAGGGGATGCGCTGGATTGGGGCGGGGGGGGGGGGGGGGGGGGGCTGTGCTAGGATCTGCCTGGAGGGTTAAACCTTGGGGGGGGGGGACACACATGAGGGGGTGCAGGGCTGGAGGTCCCGAGGAGAGTGGGGGTGCAGCGGTGAGCGGAGACACAACCTGGGGGGGGGTCTCGCCGAGGGACAGCACTGCTGGCCGTGCCTCAGTTTACCCACCTGTAGCACGTGCCCTCCACAGCCCAAGGCCCTGTCGCCCCCCCCCCCCCCAACGGGGAGGTGCCACCCCAGGGGACCCCAAAGCCCGTCCTGGTGCCCCTGAGGTTGGGGGGGGGGGGCGGGGGGCTGCCAGCCCTGCTCCCCCCCCCCCCCCCCATCCCCATCAATGAGACCCCCGGCCGGGGCCCAGCCGCCAGCACAGACCAGTTTGCTGTCTCCGTTCCCAGAAGAAAGAATAAAGTTAAAACATCTGTTAATTTATAAACCAATTTAACCATGACTGGTTAATAAATAGCTACCAGCTGCCAACCCCCACCCCGCGCCCGGGCGAGGGGCGCGCGGGGAGCCGGGGACGCGCAGCCGGCCGGGCTCCCCCCCCCCCTCCCCACAGCCCCCCCGCTGTCCTTGTCACTTGTCCCAGCGGCGGGGTCCCCAGGGTCCCCGGGGGTCGGGGTTTGACTGGTGGGGAGGTGGCACGGGAGGGGGGGGCCCTGCTCGGGGGGAGGAGGGGCAGGACACGGGGCCATGGGGACACGGGATGCTGTGGGTGGGGGTGACCCTGCCTTGGGGGGGGGCGGGGGGGGACAGGACTG